CCCCCCCCCCCCCAAAAAAAAAAAAAAAAAACCCACCTGTGCCACCAACCACAAACGAACAATATCAACACGTGCACTCGCCAGGCAAGATGAGCGGCAAGCAACAGCAGGACACTTCAAAGCTAAGCGACTATGATATTTTCATCAGAGCTGAAGAGGAGAGAGAAAAGGATAGATTGAAATCCATGCCAGCTCTCAGCTTCCAAAAGGCAGACTACAAGCCTCCGGAACGCCAGTATGAAGAGATGCGAGCAAGCGAGGTCCCGCACGACCAGAGAAAAGAGGACCGGGAGCGCAAGCGTATGGAGAGGCGACAAAAGAGTACAAATGGCAAGGACAATGGTAAACTATATGATAACTATAAGATCAGAGACCAAACAGTACGATGGAACGACAAAGGGTGTCCATAGCGGATACAGGGCGTATCAAGAGGAAGGGAGAAAATAAATAAAAAGAAATTTGATCTCCCAGGCGCAGATGCCTAGATACACTATCTTACTCAAATTCGCCCTTTACACAACTTGATATAACATCTGCATCACATGGACGAGACTGGTGGCTCTAACTGGCAGGAGAAGCTCTATTTGTATGCTTCTCCATAGAACGTTTTACATGAAATGTTACGATCGTCAAGAAATGAGTCTGCCATAAGTCTTCGAGACGATCATGTTCCAGAGTGATGCGCCACACGCACGGCTTTGTATTGTGGCAACCTTCAAATGACACACAGAAGAGGATTGTTGAGTCTGTTTGTTCTCACATTCTCTTTGTAGAAGTAGACCGTCTTTAATTTTATCTTTATTTTGGGTACTGGCCGCGTTAGTGATTATCCATAATCTGAGAAAGTTCCCAGAATTCATGGAGACGTTCAGAGTTATATCAACCTCGGCTTCATCTTCACGTATAGAGGGCCTTTGTGCCACAAGGTATAAACTTCCTCCTTTTCCAGCCAATCGCAAGATTCTTCGGCCAGAAACATGTCAAAGTTCCAAATCAGTCTCGCCATAATGATTCGCATCTCGACGTAAGCAAGACTTGAAATCGTTAGCAAAATACTTTCTGATCCCCGAGATGAATTACATACTTTTTTCCGATACAGTTGCGAGGCCCATATGAGAATGGCTGGAACGATTGCTTGTTGTCATTGATGAAGCGCTTGTCGCCCAACCATCGTTCCGGGATAAATGAATTAGGGAGTAGAAAGTTGTTGGGGTTGCGAAACATTGCCCAGTGCCAGACACCAATCCTGGTCTAATCATCCGGGAACGTTAAAGTTGGTCGTATTTTTTATTTCCTTTTTCCAGGAGAGATGCTTGAATCAGCCTTCCACCAATGTCGACGCCCCCAGGACATGCTTGGCGCAGGTTTGCAACCGGAGGAGGTGGATGTAAGCGCATGGTTTCATCCAATACTGCCAGCATATAATCAAGCTTTTGAACTCCTTGAATGTTTATGGCGTCTTCAGACTCGAAAGAGGTCCGAATCTCTTGTGTCAGCTTTTGCAGAACATTTGGATGCATCGTCAGGAAGAATGTCGCGGCGGACAGTGCAGTTGCCGTAGTTTCTGAGCCAGCTCCAATAAGGAGTCCTGCGTTGTCGTAGATTTCTTCCTTGGTCATGCTCTTCAATTGTCTAGTTAGCCCGACGGTCTCGAAACTCGTCTATTTTCATGTGTCGGTTGGTTTCTAGACTTACCAGATCACCTTTTGATAACATGGCATCCACAAAGTCAGGTCTAGATGTTTTCAGTGATAGCCTCTTGTCAACCTTTAATCGGGTGAGATTATCATGGGCCTCGGCGCCTTCTTTCATCGACTTGGGAATGAACAAGGCCAAAGACGACGATAAGCTGGGATACCTAGCAACAAGCCCGAGCCACGTGTTCACCTTGACGGCCGAGAATATTGCAGCAACCCAAGGATGGTAACCACTATTTTCGAGACAACCAAAAGGCTCGCCAAAGGCGAGATCCCCGATAATGTCGAAAGTCGTCCAGTTAAACCAGGAGACCATGTCCACCGCCTTTGACCCCTGCTCACCAACCTCGCGGACGCGGCGTATGAGCAAGTCGATGTACTGTCTGATGAGAGGTTGCTGCTCAGACATCTTCTGTGCTGAGAACCCGTGGGATAGAAGGCGGCGCATACGGCGATGATCGTCTCGGCCAGCACCAATAATGTTTCCGGAGAAAGGTGCTGCAAAAGCCGGGTCCTTGACGTTTTCTCCTTGTCCCGCTTTGCGGTGGTCAAAGATGTTCTCCCATGCTTCCGCGTTGACGAAGCTCAGCTCATTGGGACCAATTCGGACGATCTCGCCGTATTGATCGTGTAGGTTTGCGATTTCCTTGTGAGGCTGTCCACGCAGGATCATCAATACAGTGGGAATACCCGAAGCTGCCGACAGTCGAGGTCCTGGGTAATGCCGCAACGGGTGCAACCACAAGTTATATGCAGCACGAGCAACCGCATATATCAGTCCCTTGATGCTTTCTTCAGCCAATCATTGCTATCATGCATGCCATTGGGTGTGAAATACATACCATGACAGGTAACAAGACAAGGGAGCTCCATACGAGCCCAAAATGACTCAAGTCAGCCATTAAAACGATAGATTGAGGATTCGGGCCTCAGCTAATGTGAAGGGTATAAGTGAATCAAGGACAATTTAAGAGATGTATAGATCGATGATGTTGGGCTACAAACGAGAGATACTGAAAGTCATCTCTAATATACCCAAGCAGGTGATTTGCGGGGGTTAGCTAGTACCTCAGCACGATAGTATAACACCGCATCAAGCTATAAAGATCGCCATGCTGACAACAAATAATCCACAATAATGGATGTCGCGTTCCAATAGAGTTTCATCAACCGTGATAAATGCCAAACCGTCGAGTAGACTGCGAGTCTGTGCAGTCAAGATTTGAAATACAATACGAAAACGAAAACGCTTACCAATCCGCGGGCTGCTACGGGTTTTCGGGTCGCCCGAACTTCCCGCAAAATAACTTGCCAGAGTCAAAGTGAGCCTTGCTCAAGCTTCACTTTGCAATTACTTGTTCCGGCTCTCGTAACGCCGAGAGAAAGATCGATTCGAACAACTAGCTGCCAGGGAACCTAGCAAGACGGGCGAGTACCCCGTCAATTCTCGGCATATGTTTAAATGCTGGATCACTAGAATCACATGGGCTTGCCTCGACTGCCAGCTTTATCGCGGCTCTCGCTGGTTTTCAGATGCAATTATACTCCTTATCTTAACCTATTAGCCACTATTTCCAAGGAGCGGTGTACTCAGCACTCTCTTCTTTTCAGCATCTCCGTGTACATCTCCTTGCAAAACCTCAATGTCATCCGATCCACCTTGGTCGGTACTTCTGCTCAGTATTATGGAAGAATTGCTGGGCTTTGGGATGGGCTTGCGAATTGCTTTGGAATACCTCATCCACTGTTGGGACCACTCGCTTGACAGGTATACCCGAGTTGCAAGATGCTATATACATTGCATTCTCCCAAAGTTCATAAGGAGACGTGGAAAATGCACTTTAAACACCTAGAAGGATTCTTCAAAGACTCGAGTTTAAACGGCAAACTTTCTTTGGATTAAATACGGCGGCAACACCAGATATCTTGGCCATGGCCATTATCCCCTTTGTGTCGATTCTTATGGCGATTGCGAAAATGCAGTCTCGCAAATTTGCGTATGCAGCCTAAGAAAATGCATGGATAAATGTTCTTTTGCTCGTGATTTATCTAAGGACCCTGTTTTCTGGAGCATTAGTAATCCAAGATTAGCTCACAAGTATTAATTACAGCTGTTGAGTTTTTAGGGGATTTAAAAGTCTTGCATATAATAATAAAGCCTGCCAGGCCTGCTAGCCTTCCGATATTAAAAGCCTTTTATAGCAAAATGTTCTTCGAAGGACCCCCACTATAACGCCTATAGAATAGCCACTAAAAAGAGCAACGTTATAAGCACACCAGTGATTAGCGCTATTGGGAATCGAGCCTAATATTTCTTAGGTATCTGGTAATGTACCTAGTATACACCCTTCCAGTTTTGCGTTCACCATTAATTGGAACCATCTTGAAAAGAAAAGCTTGATTGATTTTTTGTTCCCTGGAGAACACCATGATTTAAATACAAAACTTATAAATGTACGAATTCATAACGATCACGACAATGCAGCCGGTTGTTTTAGATTGAATCGCCTGGATACAGCGTTTTTGCCGGGCGCTATGGAGCTAACAGAAGTGGGACCTCCCCTGTAGTGTGCTGCGGACACCAGTGACTTGGCCTCTAATTCAGATAGACATTCACGCTGCTACTTTATAGTCAGAGCATAAAGCTCACCAAGGCCCTCGACTATCCGTGCCACAACATTCACGACCATGTAGGCTGCCTGATAAACCATCGTGGTGAGCGTCTCATAGTCAAAATCAGATTTTGCCAAGGTTGAAGCATTACTCTCTTCAAGGCGCTGTGCACACACACATATGAGAAGATGACGAAACAGTCTTCTGAAATTGAACTAATTATTTGGTCAGAAGTGGTACGAATTGGAGCATCGTCTGAATTTTGAAAGATGAGAAAACTCCGAGAGGCCAACAATTCACAAGCGACATGCCAATTTCGCAAAGACCACGCATCATCCGACTTCGTAGAGCGTACATTGTCTTGATCAATTCTGCAGAGTCCATCGTTCCAAATTATTGACCAGTAAGACTCTAAAAGTTGAGACATGCAGAAGCGGGGAGGGTGGAAAGGGAGCTTATTCATCAAAGGCAGATAGATGTAAGCGATTCAAGCCAGCTACGAACCCACATACGATTTTCGCATGGAATCAAACCACGTGGAATATACTTGTTGAAATATACTTGTCAAGAAAACCAGATTTTGCTAAAGACTTCAAGGCCATGCATGCAGTCCATGCAGTTTCGGGGCCCAGCCGGACGGTCTGGGGCTCTAAAAATATAGATAGTAAGCGTTTTCAGAGTACCGAGAATTGTTAGAATCCCATCACACCTGCAGTGAGATGCACATACCCTCAAGGGTTCCAAATCCACCATTGCCAGGCAACCATTAGGTAGGGGATCTGGCCCTCATGAGGGGGATTCTTGTCAATGATACGCTGTTAGGGCCCTCTGTCGTCGTGTAGGTTGGCAGGTAGGTTGGCAGGTTTGGCGTGCATAACGTGGAATTCAGCTTCTGCACTATTGGAGTCGCACACGCAAGACATGGCTATCTGGCTGCTGCTTCTTCATGCACGACAAGTATATGTTTGCTGCACTGCATTGAGGGGTACAGTTGGCGGGGTCTAGATGTTTATCGCAGCCTCCATGAGCAGACCAAAATAAATACTGATTTATCCCTTGCTGCGATTTCGTCTTGTCCATCTTGTCCTCTTCTGTTTGTTATCGCAAATCAAGTGTGCTGGAGATTTTAATATCCACAAGGACTTGGTTGTGTTCCTGGTCACCTATACACAATTCATTATGTCTTCTACCACTACTGATTACAAGGTTTCCTTTGATGTAAGATTCCCCCACCCCGCCAAACAACGAGAAAACGGAAACTTAAAAACTGTCACTAATGTAGTCGTTCAAAAATGTCATCAACAACGAATTGGTCACGACTGCCAACACGCGCCATTCCGTAAACCCCAGCACAGAAGAGGCGCTGTGGGAGGTCCCAGTCTCAACACAAGAAGATGTCGACAAGGCCGTGAGCGCAGCCAAGGCTGCCTTTCCCGCCTGGAGCAAGCTGTCCCAGGACGAGCGCGCCGAGTATCTCAGCAAACTTGCCGATGCAATTGAAGCACACAAGGACGAGTTTGCGGTGCTGGTTGGTAAAGAAACGGGAAAGCCGCCGCAGACTGCCGGTTTTGAGATGTTCCTCGTCATGGGACTTGCTCGAGAGACGCTCAAGCTGCGTCTAAAGGAGGAGAAGAAGATTGACGATGCCGACGTACGTCAAGAAATTTGTTACTGCGTGGCGACTCGCGCGAATTCGCCAAAGGCTAACATGTGCAATTGCAGCGCACCGCCATTGTTCGCTACGTTCCCATGGGCGTTGGCGTTGGCATTGTGCCATGGAATTTCCCCTTGACGCTTGGTGTCGGCAAGGTATTCCCAGCTCTCTTGGCTGGCAACACGTTCATCTGGAAGCCATCTCCATTCTCGCCGTACTCTGCCCTCAAGCTTACCGAACTGGCTATCAAGATTCTTCCGCCGGGCGTGTTACAAGCTTTGAGCGGAACGGAAGACCTTGGGCCTCTGTTGACGGCTCATCCCGATGTTGCCAAGATCAGCTTTACCGGTTCCATTGCCACTGGCAAAAAGGTCGTGGCAGCTTGCGCAGGGACTTTGAAGCGTGTAACGCTTGAACTTGGTGGCAATGATGCTGCCGTGGTTTGTGATGATGTTGATATTGACTCGGTCGCGGCAAGGGTAAAATACATCTCGAGTCCATGGTATAAAAGGTTTACTAAATATGAAAAACTAGATTGCTTTCCTCACCTTTATCCACAATGGCCAGATCTGCATGGCCATCAAACGCATCTACGTCCATGAAAGCATTTACGACAAGTTTCTGGCCGCTGTCGTGGCAGTCACCAAGACGTTCAAGTTTGGTGATTATACCGATGCCGAAGCTTTTGCCGGGCCCGTCCAGAACCGTATGCAATTCGATAAGCTCCAAAAGTTCTATGCCCAGATCGGAACCGAGGGTTGGAAGACGGCACTAGGAGGCGAGCCCGGCCCAAAGGAAGGCAAGGGCTTTTTCATGCCGCCCACGATTATCGATAACCCCCCGGAAGCCTCGAGCATCGTTCAGGACGAACCCTTTGGTCCTATTGTCCCGCTCTTGAAATGGTCGGATGAGGAAGATGTGATTCGTCGCGTCAATGCTGCCAAGGTTGGCCTGGGTGCGTCCGTTTGGAGCAAAGATGTGCCACGAGCCCAGCGCATCGTAGAGCAGCTCCAGGCTGGCAGTATCTGGGTCAATACTCACTTTGAACTTGCGCCCAATGTACCTTTCGGTGGCCATAAGGAAAGTGGCTTGGGAATGGAATGGGGTGAGGTTGGTCTTCAGGGATGGTGTAATCCACAGGCTTATTGGATTAAGCATTCTGCTTGAGTGCCAGTTTGAATGGTTGTTTGATGCAGTCTGATGACGAGCTGGCTCGGATGACGGAAAATAATATTGATACGAACATTTGCCGTTTTTGCTGAGTAGTTCAAGGCGTAAATTGAAAAGGAAACATACTTTCTGAATCTATGATTATAGTATACACATTGTTCAGTCTCACATATTACGTTTTCAGGCACAATCTACCATGCCGCTGGCCGGGGAACTATGGTTAGGTATGGGTATGCGAAAGGGGGACAATGGCATGGGGATCAAGTAAGGAACCAACAGCGAGGCGTTCAGGAGTGAGTTCTCTCGGTCCAAGAGGCCAGAGAGCTCCTTGGGGGGTGGCTGGTATGGCAAGGGTACAATAGCAACAGTATCTGAACGATGATATGATGGAACCATTTGTCTAGAGCTAGATCTTGGTATTGATGGCTCCTGTCACACCAGACAAGTACATGTAGTCTTTCGTCCTCACGTCGGCAATGAGCTACCACACCAGAGGCACCTCTTGGAAGGCTCTCCGCCACTTATTTCAATGCTATCGTATATACGCTCTGTCGAGTCTCGGCACTTGATTGCACTTGCCGTTTGTGGGACTCAAATACACTGATCATGCGCTGTAATGTCGGCTGTGATAGAAATTTGCTCCATTAGGTGGCAGCAACGGGTGCTACAAGGCTGTTGAACAGCGACTCCTTGCTCATCTCTTGTTCTTTCAAGGTCTTCCAGCTTTGTCACTCTTGCAGTAAGCACATTAGCAGTTGGTCGTAGCCTGTCTGCCACTCTACACGAGGGATCGTATTCATCTCGCTTTCATCTGTCTTTGAACGACAAGACTTCAGAGTTGTCTCATAGAGCCAATCATGTTGATCATGCATATTGATCTTGAGCGAATGAACCCTCGCCTTTCCAATTGGCTTCCTGCCATTTCATCATGCAACAACTTTACATGGCTTTTGCTTTTTATTGCTGCACTTCGAATAAAGGACTTTCATTCATGACTTATTCAGTGTTTGCTGCCATTTGATTGAATCTCAAGGTTACTTTACCCGCATGCTGGGTCCGATCTTCTTTGATCCGGACATCGCTGGCTTATTTTACTCATTTATCCCTTAGAATGAGCAATATCGAATTAAGTCCAAGTATATCAACATTTGCACACAGTATTTTGCAATGCCAACATGTTTATTTTAAACACCAGATCGGCCTGCCCACTGTTCAAGTACTTGATAATTTTGTGATAACTTTATTTTGTTTTCGCACGCGATAGAATCCCAGTAACCGGGTCGCTCAGCCGCAAGCTTGGTGTTTAAATCGAAACAGGCCTGGATCGCCAACAAGACGACAAATTTAACACTTAATCGCAGCAGATTTCAAAGCAAACATTCAAGCTAAAACGTCTAAAATAAGGGGGGAAATCTCATGGTGGCCGTTGTCATTACCCATATATTAATCCCTGCTGGTCCCGTTTCAATTTGATCGTCAACCCTTGACTGTTTTTGGCGCCACGCGATTGACTGGAATAAGAGGGAAGACGACCCTTGTCCTACGCAAGCTTCGCAAGATCTAACGATTGAGAGAACTTTCACTGTATCTGCTAGACGAGAGGGTTTGCAATAAATATATTCAGTCCGGGTGCCATGTCTTTGTCTTTTCCAACTTGAGGCCTGCCAGCGCAACTTATCGTCCCTCTTTGACATAACCGTTGTACGGATCAAGCTCAGTGAGCTTCTTACATTCTTTTAGCAATACAATCGTTAATTGTTCACTCATTGATTTTCTGGATATCTTCTTTCTAACTACTCGATCTGATTAGTCGGTAACTCGCAATGCATCAATCACTACGTTCATTGTTGTACTCGGCGGCCGTTGTGGCCCCAGCCTTGGCGATGCCTCAGGGCTTTCCGCAGGACGCCAGATTCGGACAGCACAGTCATGCTGGCCATCACTGTGGTGGTTCTTCGGTTGCATCTGTGCCATCTCAAGCAGCTACATCGGCCCAAGTGTCTGTACCCTCTCAGGTGACTACCTCATCGGCTGTTTCTACACCATCCCAAGTGGCCACTGAGGTACCCTCAGTAAGCACTGTTGTTAGTGAGGCTATCACCAGTCTCACTTCTACCGCCAGCAATGTCGTATCTTCAACTACTGCCGATGCCACGAGCGAAATTGCAACGTCGTCTGTCGTGTCCAGCCCGTCTAGCTCGTCCATCTCCGCCAGTGCTTCTGCTCCCGCTGGTACTGTGGTCGCGGCCGAGGCGCTCACGGCATCCTACTGCGGCGAGCCCAACTCGTACAAGATCCTGAGCGGAACCCCCTGGATCGTCTACTCGATGAACTACAACTACCAGTCCATCAGCGGGTCCTGCTGCACGGGCTACTACACGACCACAGGCTCGGACGACGACCAGGTCGTGCACTGGAGCAGCATCTGGGACATTGACGAGGCCGTCGACACCGACGTGGTCAAGGGCTACTCGTTCATCGGGCTGACGCAGAACCTCGAGACTACGCTCGACAGCATCTCGTCCATACCCTCGACGTACACGTGGTCCATTAGCAACACGACGGCGTACAAGGGCAACGTCGTCTACGACTTCATGACCTCGGACACCAAGGGCGACTCCACCTCGTCGGATGCGCAGGAGTTGATGCTCTGGCTGCAGTGGGAGGGCGGCCAGGTGCCCATTGGCTGGGCTGAGGGTGCCGTCGCCACCATTGACGGCCTGTTTGGCAAGGATGGCTGGCAGCTGTACCAGGGCAAGAACGATGACACTGGCATCACTGTGTCTTCGCTGCTCGCACCTGCAGACAGCATGTTTGACGGCACGTTTGAGGGCGACATCAAGGACTGGCTGCTGGCAATGTCCGAGCAGGGCATCTTCTCCACCTCCACCTATGTCAACGTCGGCAATGCTGGTATGGAACCATACTGGGGCACTGTGACCTTTGACAACAACCTGAGCCTCAGGATTGATCTTTAAATGGAAACACTCAGGTGGTGGAGTAAAGACGGTTGTGATGTTCGATTCTGTGTATATATTGATGTGCTGGCATACATGTTGATCTATGGCGCGTGTTGCCATGGAACTAGTCCTGACAGGTCATCCTCTTTAGCAATGAAATCGAGAATTTGACCTTTACTGATCATCGATCCAATAGCCTGACGAAACTCATTTCGGCCGCCGCCAGTCCACGGGCTGAGCAATCTGTCTTTGAGCCAAGTCAACCAGGTGTCCCATGTGACAGCCCGGGTCGCTCCAGCTGCAATACCGACGCAAGCTTCTATGTCTGGCTGTCGCGTATCTCGATAGGTTTCAAACAGTTTGCGCAGATCGTCCTCGCGGATGTCCGCAGAAGTGCCATTGTTTACAAGTCGTCGGAGCTCATTTGTCAAAACAACAACGTCCTGAACACCGCAGTTCCAACCCTGACCAATATTTGGTGTCTGCTTATTCGCAGCGTCACCGACCAGTACAATGCGCTTCCAGTGCCAGTCCTTTATGATGCCCTCGGGCAAGTCGGCCAACATGACCCATTTGCGGGCGTCCCAAACATCTTTGAATCGTACCTTGTCTGTAACATGGACATCTGCAACTCTCTGTGCGAGGCTGTCCATCTCGTCTTCGGTGTACCTCTGCCTGGTTTTGACTGTCCGAGGGAGCTTGTCATAAAACAGGAACCAGCACATGTCCCTTGCTCCAAACAGTTGCATTGCGATTCCGGAACTATGCAGGTCCCACTCGGGTCCGAGCTCGAGTCCGGGGACATGGCCAGTATTTCCGTACAAGCATCTGTACGTTGAAGTGAGCGATTCCTCGTCACCTCTGCTGGTTGTAGCATTGGCACCATGTTGCTGAGCCAACTTCTTCATGCAGTTTCGCACGCGACTGTGCACACCGTCTGCGCCAATGACCATGCTACCTTGCTCCTGCGTACCGTCGGCGCATTGAACAATGACCCCATCTGCTGTGACTTGAATGTCCTGTACTTTCTTGCCAGCGTACACATTGTTCTTGATCGTGTCTGGCAGTGCTTCGTATAGCACCCGCAACAGCTCTGGCCTGTGCAAGAAGAGCCAGTCGGCCCCATGACTAAATGTGATGTGGTCAATATTCGATAGCGGTCGGGTACCTTCTCCAGCTTGGAGATTTTAACTCACTTTTCCTCTGTCCACTTGGCCGTATACGTGGTATGATAGTGCCAGCCCCAACTGTTGACAATTCGGTTCTCGCTGAATCGGTGCGCAATCTCCCGGATTCGGGTCATGAGGCCCAATTGCTCAAAGACCCGCTGTGTATGCGGAAAGAGTACGATTCCAGCACCTTCTGGCGGCACAATTGTTGGCCTCTGTTCCAAAAGCACAAAGTCGATCCCAGCTGCTGCGAATACATGGGCGGCGACCAGACCGACTGGGCCGCCACCAACGAGTATGATGCGAAAATCGGATGATGGTGCCATGGTTATGATTGTTTAGAGAAGCTCACGGCCCTTTGGATTGATGTGCATTCTTTATGAGTGCCTCAAACTGTTGAAATCGCTGGCAATCTGACATGCGTGAGGTATTCGCCTCTGCCAATCTGACAGGCGCTTGGCGAGGTCCAACCCTGCGAGTCAGAAATGCAAGATGATCTCAACGCTACCAAAGTTTGTATGTCGCCGTCCTCAAATCTGTCTCTGCCGAGAAGAGAAATTCTCTCGCGAGAGTCTTCCGTGTCCTGTTCCAAGACATGCGACGCAAAGCTTGCACTGACTTGGATTAGCCATGTGTGACGTGAAAGGTGCATTGCCGCTCCAAGCTGTGGCAGCTGTCCTCCCCTCCAATGACGTGATTAGTCCCTAGTCACCATGTCGGCAAGAGCAATATCGTGCAAACGCATATCGCAAATGTTCATCATGGTGGAACAGCCAAGTTTAGAATGTGTAAGTCTATTGGGGACAGGGCGCTGACGATAATAATAGGCTGATGAAAGTGAAAAGTGCACGTTGCTTCCAATTAGTGGCTGGTAGGAAATCATTTGGGGTGTCCAGATAAATACATGGACAAAACTCAAACGGGCAAAGAAACGCCACCCTTGAATAGCCACAAGCGAAAGAAAAGGCACAGATCTAGGAATGATGGAATCGTAATTCACCGTCGATCGAACTCCGCCGTAGTCGCATCTTGGCCCGCTTGCTCAGCTCGTCCATACTACTCGTCAGGTCAGCGCGGACATTAGAGCTCTTGACATTGGCCATCAAATCGCGATGGTCGATCCCGTGGTAGAGAAGAGGCAGAGTGGAGCTCTTCCACAGCATCTCGTCTGCGCCGCGAGAGGAATAAATGACCAGCGCCAGGAACACGGTCCCGGCCGCGGCGACCGCCACGGGCAGCGTCAGCCAGGGCCACCAGACCTCGACGGAATTTCGCGACGAATAGGCCCGGCCCGAGACCGGGACCGCTTCGTCTGGCTGGGTGCGGGAGTAGTGAGTCAGGAACTCGGACACGCGCTGCATTGCCCACTCCAAGCCTCCCACCTTGTCGGCAATCTTGTCGAGGTTCTGGTTTGATGACGACTTTGCAAAGTCCACCTCAATGGCCAGGTTGCGGCCGTCATCGGCCGGGGGTCTGGCTGCTGCACACACTCTGTTCACGTCAACGAGCTGTGGCACCGAATAGTTGCCCACCAGCGCATCTCGTACGCGCGTGCACAGCAAGGTGAGCGTATCCGAGTCCAAGAAAAATGCAGCCTCGCGAATGTCCGTGTAAGTCAATATATTGTCTTGCGAGCCATCTGGGCTCCAGTATACTAGGTCGTCACCAGGCTCGCCTCCTTCGTGGAATGCACCAAGCGTGTACTTTGGGACATGAACATCGAGGCGACCCCGGTGTGATTCCACCGAGAGAGTCTCGACGCTCGGCGTCAGCGCGCACACCTGAGCTCGCTTGATTGAGAGCCCATCGGGTCTCTTGGCGGGATCAAAGTCGATCTCGGCGTACGCCATGATCATAATCTCGTTCCGCCCACTGAGATTTCGATCTGGGGATACATTGAAGAGAGTGCCCCAGTCGGAGGCCTCGCCCTCGGCTTGTCCAGACCAGAGTGTCCAAATCGCATGTCGCGGGTATTCCAGAATAGTCCTATTCTCGGTATCATCGCCAGATATGCTGCCGACCCAGTCTGGTGCATCTTGGACGACGCTAAAGTTCCATTTGACGTTACTATCGTCTCCCGGAAAGTAAATACTGCAATTGCTTGTATGGAATTCCTGGCTGTTACCACAGCGCAGGTCGCAGCCCTCGAGGACCACCTCTTCCGTGCGGTCTTTGCAAAGTGGACGGAACCCCAGTGTGTCAAAATTGTCCCATAGACACAAGTCGCTCTCGCATTCCGACGCCTTGTATATAGACGGTGCATCGACCTCGCTCCAGATGGATGAGTAGATGACACTATCCAAATTGGTGCCTGCAATGATGAATCTAGCAAGGTCTATGCTGGGTTCTGGGGCGTCGAGATCTTGGTATAATCGCGTCGAGTACGTGATCAATTGCTGCGCGAAGGGGTCCAGGACGAGAGCGAGGACAACGACGAGCGCACCGAGGGACGCCGTCGTCCGGACATGGAGCTTGCAGAGCAGCACCAAGGCACCCCATGGCCCTCTGCTGGCATCATCAAAGATCTGTATATCGCGAACGCATCGCCCACCGAGGGCCCGTTCATTCCGGTACCACTGCCATTTCAGCTGGCTGATGCCCGAGGCCGTGGGCACGGCCAAGGCCGCTTTGGAGAAGGCGGTCAAGACTGCAATGACGGTATTGAGAGTTATGCCGTACTGGAAATATGGAGTAGGCTGCTGGTCGTAGACCCTCAGGAGCACGGCCATGGCGACGAGCAGCCCGATGCTAAACAAGAGGCAGAGAATCTCCCAGTACCACGTGTCGACCCAAATCTTGTAGCTCTTCCGCCCACTTGCACGCGAAGTCTGTCTCGAAAGGGCAAACATGTTGGGTTCCAAGTCGCGTCTAGGAGTCATTGTTCGTTCGCTTGATGCTTGGGCATTTTTTAGCGGATCGGACTCCACGATAGACTTGAGTGACACCCGAGAGATGTCAGTCTTGTTGTTGTTGATCCTCGATTATCTTCTGTTCTCGTATCCTTTCATCTCATTCTATGCAAGGAAAATTTGGCGTCGACTCTTCAAATATACATGTTCCTTGGACATGATCTGAGCTACGCCCTGGGTGATCCTCCCAGAGGCACAGCCAATATGGTGGCTAACAAATATGATCTGATCGTCACATCAACCAAACTGGGATTTGATTCCTGAAATAGAAACATGCGCGTTGCGCCCGAACAATACAGGAAGCAAGTTCGAACTGGTTTCAAGGTTGTCGGATCATGAACATTGACAGGTAGTCAAGTATCAGATTGGAAGCGAATTCCTTTCCGTTCAATACTAACACATTGGCACCTTCGAAATCACAGGGCGAGATCATATCAAGAAATTTTGAACCATGAAACGTAAAATTATTATTTTAAGGCACTTTGTACCGATTTTTCTGCCAGGCCATGAAACATCATTATTGCGGCATGACTCGCTCCTTAGGCGGCATTGCTCGCGCAAGTCCACGGGCTCGTGCCCGAGTCAGCGGCAATGGCCTCTCCTGCACTCCAGAGACCCAGCGCGCACAGGACGAAACCAACAATAACAAGGAAGACGTTGGCCACAAACATGGCGGTCCTCTTGCCACTCGAAAAGTAGTCTCCATAGTGCATCCACAGCCACAGGCCACCGGGGATACCGTACGAGAACCAACTGGCAAAGAGGGCGCACAGGAGACCAAGGAGGTTGCTAAAGACGGGAATCGACTCGGCAATGACCCAGGCAATGATCCAGACACCGGCCGTGATACCAGTCCAACCAACCAGACCCAGGGTGGTGCGCTTGTGCAGGTGCTTGGTGCCGGCGAAGACGCGCACAAAAATGTACTTTGCGCAAACGTGACCGTAAATGACTCCGGCAATAACAATGGTCGGGATGGCAATGCCCCAGATGGCCTTGCGGATGGTGACCGAGCCAGCGGCCGAGAGAGCGGGTGAGGGCACATTGGGGCCGACGTAAATGTAGATGACAATGGACGCCACGAGGTAGAGCAGCGTGTCGCAAATTTGCAGCAGCCACAGGGCCTTGGGCCAGTCGTTTGGCTGCTTGAACTCGGCCATGACGCCAAAGAAGCACGAGTGTCCGCAAAAGGCAACGGCAATGTTGCTGACGGACAGGAATGCCGAGGTGAAACCAATAGTTTGGGCGACTTCGATGCTGCCGCTTCCAATGGGTCGCTCAATGGCGACATCAATGACTGTCATCATGACAGCGGTGAAAATGGATAGGAAAGCTGATTGATGTTTTGTTAGCTACGCCGATTGGGAACAGTCGTCATAATAGTGGTCGCCACTTACACGCAAAAGAATAGTACCCGGCAAACGCCAGCGTCCGGGGCTGATTGAGCAAAAAGAAGATGGCGAGTCCAACCACGGCCCAGACAATGGTGCAGGTGGAGCTGTCGGTGAGGGTGTTGAGACAAATGGTCCAGGTTAAAATGTGACTACCCATGACGAAAACCTGGAAAATGGTTTGCGCCCAACCAAAGATCTCCTGGAAGACCTTGCCCATGCCAATGGATCGGCCCATGACCTCGCCAGCGTCGCCGAAACTCTGCACCCACGGGTACTGTTTCCGGAATTCGCCCATGACAAGACCCGATAGAGTCGACAAAACACCCATGATGATAATGAGGACAATACCGGGAGCCAGTCCCAGGTTGGCCACCACGGCAGGGAGCGAGAGAATACCCAGAGACACCGTCTCTGCAATCATGACGACAGATGCTTGCCTGTGTAGCTTGGTCAGTATCTACCAATCTACGTCATACCGTCTTTCACGGCAAAGTCAAAACATACCACCACTCGAGAGTCTTGTAGTTGATCTCTACGCCATCTTCCTGAGAGTAGCTGGGTGCCGGCTCGCTTGGCACAGCGGCCTCCATGTCCTTTGGCATCTCGGTCTTCTTCTCTGCGGGGGCCGACGTGGCTGATATTGAATCCGACTCGTCGATGCCGCCGTGACGATTATTTGTTGCCATTTGGAGCAAGCAAATTTAGGCGTGTGTTGAATCGCCCTGGTAAAAGTTAAAAGACTCTGCTGGGAGAGTTTGAAGTCGTCGGTCAGGTATTAGAGGATAAAAGGGAGAAAATGCTGAGGCTGGCAGAGTAGTTGGAGACGATGAGGCCAGAGTTTTGAGGGAATCGCCTCAACGCTATGATGGAAAGACTCAGCAGTTTGCCAGGCGCCGCAATCGGAATCCTCAGGTGCACTGTCTAAGCCAGGGAGCTATGGAAAGAGCGGCCGAGGTCCGTAATCGACTCGGCTCCGCCCGTCTGTCCATCTAGTATATCTAGATCTCCAGAGAATCCCTGGCCACGCCGCCGGGGACGCTGGTTTTTTGCAAAGTTGTAAGCGGGTGGACTCTCCGTCCGGCTCTCCCGTATGTGCACTATATTTACTATGGAGTCCCCCATCTTGTCCCTCTAGTATACGAGTCTCGCCCGCTCGCGGGGGGCCAACCGTGGTTGGTGCAATAGTAATCCGTTGCCTTCTGGAAGCCAGACCCTCGTTTTCTGAACTGCTCAAGTGTCCTTTGGAGAGAGGTTCTGTTCCGATGACGGGGTTGCAGCAAAACATGGCAGCATCTTTTCCCTTCAAGAATTGGGGCTCTCCAGAGGGTTCGCGGTCAAATTTTCTGATAGTTGAGTAACATTTACGTTATAAAGGCTCCACCCTATGGTGGCACGGGCTACGGGTTGGTATAAGTAGACGGAGTCTAAATCAACATGATCCAGGAACCACCTTATTAGGGACTTTTCTGGCTTCTCCCAGTCTCCCAATTCCGCAGTCCTCTGACTCTCTGCTGAGTAAAACGGCACCGGTGCTTCTATGACAGTTTTTCGCCCTTGAACTTTGTCCAGATTTGGGAACCGGATGCGGAGGTTTTTTGGGTCTTGGCCGCGTTGCAAAAATTGGGGATCCCGCACCAATGACTCGCATAGCCGCCACCCAAAAAGGAAATTTTTTTTTCTTAACAAAAGGGAGAAAAAAAAACCCTTCGCCTATTCTTTTTGCTTATGCATCAGCGCAGGAACCCGGTCCAAGTCGGGCAGTTTCATAATTCCATTTTCATCATGGCGAAATTTGATTTTTCCATAATTCGTCAGATTTGTTCTTGTCGAACAAATACGGTAATGCCTCTGCCTACCCAATGTAGCTGATTAAAGCAGTTTAATGTGGCTTGCCTTAAATCCGATGATAATAATAAAAAAAACGCCAAGCCTTGCTAGCCTTAGAGTATCGCCACAAGCCGTTGAGCCGGCTTATGCAATGAACCGCAATGCATCAGACTTGAAAGCGCGAGCAAAAGAGCTGTTCATTGTCCAGGATTTCGAATGATCGTCCCGCAGCTATGGTAGTTGCATCACGTCTCGGCTGGTAGAAACGAGATGATGGTGCCATGACCGCGTTTAGATCACGAGCCGTTCTCATCAGTGCATCGACTTTACCCCTCGGGCCAGTAGAAACCTTCTGGTTCGTGCTGCAGGATCGACAGGTCGATTTGCTGAAAATTAGGATCGCTCTGCGCAAGGAAAGCTTGCATTGACGGTTCCGCCAGCGCCATGCCGGCCGTCATGTTATACGGCGTGCTCCCAGACGAGAAGCCCATGCCAGCATCACCGAGACCCGTGACAGCGATATCTAGGCCGCTGCCAACGTCGCTTTGTGCGGGCATCTGTCTCGCCATCCAGGTCTTCATTGACTCGAGGTGCTGGGAAAACTCCACGGCCGCACAATTGCCGTTGCTCTTGAGCTTCAGTAGCAGTTGTAGAGAAAACTCAAAGTCATCGCGGTCCTTGGATGATCCTGGTGTATTGAGCATGCTCGATACGGCCAAGATGGTTGCTGCCGAGAAGAGGTATAATGTGTCAAAGTAGTCCATGGTGAGGAATGACCCGTCCACCCACGACTCGGCGAGCAAAGAGTACGAATGCCGCGCACACTGCGTGCATGCTTCTGTCAGAGCCTGGACGTTGTCGGGTATTTCTGGGCTTGGCTGCGCCACGTCTGATGACCATCGGTTTTGCTGCGCGCGAAGCATGTAAAGGGCGATTGGTCGAGTGGCCACAATCATACACTGTTTGAATTCAGTGCGTGGTCGACATTCACTTCATTGTCGGAGTGAACTTACCTGGTTAAAGGACAAAAGTAATGAGCGTTTAGGCCCGGCTGCTGCCCTCGATAAGTGCTGCTCGTCGTCGTTCAAAGTACCTTTCACGCTTTGGAACCAGTCCTGGAGGTCTTTCAAGGCTTGCTGAACACGATGCAAAAAAGACTCGTTCTCGGCCTTCCTGCCGTACAAGAGTTTAGTGATTTGCGAGGTCAACTTCATCAGTTTGATTCTATTCACGAGGTCGCCTGCAGGTGCAAAATCACCTTGAGCCGTGTTGGGTAGGTCAAAGTCAGCTGGAAGGTCGACCTGGATTTCGTCATCTTGGATGGAGAACGGCTGGCTGAGTCGTACGGCAAGAAGCCTGTCAAACTCGTATGCTGTCCACCATACTCGGTTTCTGTGTTCCCGCATAACTCGATCGGCTAGCTGTGATTCGGGGACGTTTAGGTATATACCCATTATGACGCCCTGGCGAACGGCTGAGCCTGCGAGGCAGTATGCTGAATGGCGCCGATTGCAAACTAGATTATAGAGAGACTTGGGGAGGTCAGCATGAGCATGAGCGTGTCTTGTGGGGTATGACTTACCAGCAGAAGTAAAACCTCTATCGAATCGAGGCTTGGCCGCTCCTGGACGACCTGGAGGGCTCTACTAGCCTGCGCAAAGTACTGCAGCCCGGGAAAGTTGTCCAGAGTGCCCGACCGAGCCGTGTATACTTCACCCAATGCCAGCAGAGCCCAAATCTTTGAACTCAAGAGCAGATCCAAACTCGAAGGATGGTGGAGAAACTTTTCAAGGTGCCCTAGGACGACACTCTTCAGTACTACATGATAATGCCGAGAGACGATGCGGAGGGCGGCCTTCATCAGGAACCGTGCTTTACCACGGGAGGGCGGCGGACACGCAGAGACGCCCAGGCCAAGCAAGGCATTATCGGTAGGAAAAGAGATTCTCTGGATGTGCGGGAACGAATTGTCCGACAAGGCTTGGCTGAAGCGAGTGGCAAAAGCAGCATCCGCAGCTTCACCGATCAAAATCGGCGCTCCGGGCGTATCATGGAACCACGGGCGGTCTCCAAAAAGAGGGTTCCTGGTCGGCCCATCATTGTCGTCCGCGTTCGCCGGGGTGGCGCGGGCGGCGCTTGGGGAAGTTGATCCGCTTTTCGACGGCTGGGCGTTCCGGTCGAGGCGGCGGAGTCTTTCGTTCTCGGCGAGCAGTTCTTCGAGATAGCTGCTGTCATGTTAATAGTTATCGCTTGGAATGAACAGAAAGAATTGTCGCGGCCATGACATCCATTGAATACGTACTTTTGGCTGACTCGAAGTTGGCGATCTCGCTTGGGATATGTGCACTCATTCTCACACCCGGACTGCATGCAATTCGAACATGGCTGACCACCTGAGCACTTGACCTTGCGTGCATGGCATTTCGCACATCTGGGAAGAAAAGGTCACTACTGTTTTCAAAATTGAAATCGACTTGTTGGAGAATATTTGCTTACGCTGTCGGCTTACTCTTCAACTCACCCTGCTGTAGATTTGCAGAACGCAAAGCAGCTTTCTGCAACATTGTTTGTTATTTGCTCGGCGTTGTGAATAATTGGCCGAGACGAGGTTCTGGCGCATAGGGGAATGCCATCGTCATAAGCCTATATCAGTTTTATTCCCGTCGCGCCGGCATCGGAACCGCTCCGAACTCTAGCTCGGTGTCTATGCACCTTGCGCCGAGAAGCTATAGGCGAGGATAGTCGAAGCTTCTTGCTCACCGCTGGCTGGTGCAACAAGGACCATCTCCTCCATGTCCTCCATGTCCTCCTTATTCCCGTGTAATACTGCTGCCAAGATTTATGTGATATGAAAAGTCCTGGGTTGGTCGATATGTGTACCAATCTTGGAGAGCTGTCCAGGGTCTCATGTCCCAATCTCTTTGCTAGCTGATGGTGGGAAACAGAGTTATCGTCAGAACTTGTCCGAAGGGAAAGAGAAAGAAGAAGGCGAAACAATGTCAGTCTCGTATAAACCATGTCTGAATACTTGCTATTACTGTATAGCATGAATTTTAATTTTTTTAGAGGTGAATATTGAATGACACGGAATGTGGATTCTGATCAATGCTTTCGGCGCTCTGGCAAAGACGCCGAAAAAGATAGCAGAGACGGCTCCACTCAGGCTGCAAAGATGATGCCCATTGCTGCCAAAACCTTCTTCAAGCGGAATGGCCACCGTGAACAATCTTTCGGACGACCCACACCAGGACTCGGACACCCTCCTAGGCATCCGGGCGGCGGATAGTATAAGACACCCAAGGGGGAGGGGGGAATGGCGTGCCGTACCTAGTCGACGCGCCTCCGTCAATCGGATCGTGCCTATTAGTTTTATCTTATATATGAACTTCCGGCTCTAAGAAGGCTTTGACACCCTCTCCTATCTAGTGCTGGTGCTTCGATATTAGTCCGTAACTTTATCACCATGACAGCCGCCGGCGCCGATACGGAATCACAGGACGATGTCCCGTCAAGATCATCCTCGCTGTCCCGGCCGCCAAGCCGGACAGGCAAGGACCTGCCTTCTTGGCGCAAATACTTGATTCTCTTTGTCGTGAGCTGGATGACGCTGTGCGTCACGTTCTCGAGTACTTCCTTGCTCGTTGCCACGCCCGAGATCGCGGCTGATCTATATACGACCTCGGAAATCTTAAACGTTACCAACTCTGGTGTCCTCATTGCCATGGGTCTGTCGTCGCTGATATGGTCCCCGCTGAGTGACATAATCGGCCGGAGGTTGGCGTACAATATCGCCATCTTCTTCCTCTTTGTGCCATCCATCGGTACCGCCGTTGCCCCCAACATGGCTGTTTTCACAGCGATGAGGATGGTGAGCGGGTTCACGGGCACATACTTTATGGTCGCTGGCCAAACGGTTATTGCGGATATTTTCGAGCCAGTACGTATTTCCCAATAGTAGTCTGACGCCATCCTTTGTGCTTCCTCGCTTCTTCCATCAAACGACTAATCATGCCGTTGGAAATAGATCGTTCGAGGCAGAGCCACTGGATTTTTCATGGTTGGTAGTGTCGCAGGTCCCGCGATAGGTGAGGATCTAATGCTTGCAAAACGCTCTTCCTTCTCAGGCCTCGACTAATTAGTTGTTCCAGGACCATGCATCGGCGGCATCATTGTGACCTTTAGTAATTGGAGAGCAATCTACTGGTTGCAGACTGCCATGAGCGGTCTCGGATTCGTACTCTCTGTGCTCGTGATCCCGACAATTAGAAAGGAAACCGATGCGATCGAGGACGAGAAAAAGGAACCATGGAATGCGTGTAGGGTGTTGGAAAGATTCAACCCCTGGAGGGTGTTCAAGCTTTTGCTTCGACCCAACATCCTACTAGCTGTAAGCTTTAAAGAACAAGAATCTCTAGTATGCCCATCATCCTAACTTTTGGCAACAGGATCTTACCTGCGGACTGCTTGCCGTCACCCAATATGGTATCCTCACCTCTGTACGACACGTCATCAACCCGCGCTTCAACCTCAGCACACCTCTGGTTAGCGGCCTGGTCTACATTGCTCCGGGCGTGGGCTTCTTTGTCGGCAGCGTGGTGGGCGGGCGCTTCTCGGACCGTACGGTCAAGCGCTACATTGCCAAGCGCGAGGGCGTGCGCCTGCCCAAGGACCGCCTCAACAGCGGGCTGAGCGGCCTGTTCATCGTGCTCCCCATTTCCATGCTGCTGTACGGCTGGAGCCTGCAAAAGGAGTTTGGCGGCCTCGCGCTGCCCATTGTCGCGGGCTTTTGGGTCGGCGTCGGGCTCATGGGCACCTTCAACGCCCTCAACACGTACACGGCCGAGGTGTCACCCGCCGAAAAGGCCGAGGTCATCTGCACAAAGTACATTGTTCAGTACATTTTCGGTGCGGCGTGTACGGCCGCTGTCGTGCCGCTCATTGATGCCATTGGTGTCGGGTGGGCGTTTACTTTATGTAAGTTCAATCTGCCGAAAGAAGAGATGCGCATGGACATTGCTGATCCTTGGTGTCACTCTAGTCGTTGCATTAGACATTCTGGGCGGCGTACTGGTGCTGTTTGTTGCCAGGCTTGGCCCAAAGACGTGGGTTTAGATTTCGTTTCACTGCAAGAGATACCCCCATAGAGATTAGACCTGGGCTGAAGTGTGCCGCCAATCATTCTCGGCCTCATCATGAATTATAAGCACTAGACACACAAGAGTCGTTTTTGTCGTTCATCTTTGAATCGTGCCGCATTTATTAGTTGATGAACACGCCAGGGTCATCTTTTGGTGCCACGATTGCTCTGTAAACCGGCTCAGATGATTGGTCTCAAAGTACCTACTATTCAGTGCTGTGCCCCTTGAGGGCCGCTATAGATCAGCTCAGCTGGGGCTGCTACAGCGTCAGAACCGCTAGCGGCCGCGTATGTCTAGGCCATTAGTCATTCAGCATCTTGTGCCAGCTACTCGAGGTGTAAGATAAGTTATGTTAAAAGACATGAATGTCCCAAGAAGTAAAGGCAAAGATGAAAATATGATTCCCGTGTCGTATATTGATAGAAATCACGAGTAGCATTGTTCTACACAACAATGGCTTATTGGTTCGAAAGCCCGTTTCCTCTGGTGCCTACGCCATTCGCTGCACTTGCAGAAGGGGAGCAGCAGGATGTCTTTGTTGCGACTGCCACAGGTCAGCACATGAAAAGGCTATTGAAAGTGCAATTCTAATCAACATGTCTCTTAGAGATGACTCTGGCACATAATATTCTCATCAGGGGACTGAACTCGATCTATCGCCAAGCACCCTTTATCAAAACCTTGGAACAGCAGGACTTTGTCGGCTACGCCAAGAACTTTGTCAATGTTCTCAAGGTTCACCACGAGGGAGAAGAGGAGTCGTTCTTTGCAGAGGTCGAGAAGATGACGGGAGAGGCTGGCATCATGGAAAAGAACGTGGAGGAGCACCACGAGTTCCACGGTGGACTTGAAGAGTTGCAGGGATACCTGACAAGGATAGCCGACGGAGCAGAGGCGTACAACGGCAAACACATAGTCGAGATCATCGACAAGTTTGGCCCAGGGCTCTCGGAACATCTTTCTCAGGAAATCCAGACTCTCTTGGAGCTTAGGCGCTTCGGACCTGACAAGATGAAGGGCCTGGCTACTGCACTTGCCGCAGATGGTCAGGCGAATTTGGTCAGTGAAATGAACTCCTCCGAGAGGCTCTCAGAAGCATGTTCCGCTAACGTCCAGCACAGAAGAAGATTGGTCTTGCAGGAGGCGTTGTCTACGTCTTCCTCAGCCACGACAAGACGTGGGAGAATGGTATTTGGGCAGATTTTCCACCCGCTCCACCAGGAGTCAAGACTCTCGTCATGAGAGGATTGTACTACTGGCACTCGGCATGGTGGAAGTTCTCCCCTTGCGATCAGAACTTCATGCCCAAGGCTGAGCCATACGCCAAGCCAGAATAGCTCATGGTAGACGAGGGAGGACGGGAATGGAGACCAATAATTGTTCACATATAATGACAGTACTTATTGATAACGGGAAAGAAAGAATGGATTTCAGGTTCGACTTTGCGTCTACTCTCTAACAAAGATAGAAATCATAAAGATACGCTAAACAATACCGCCCAATCTAGTGAAAATCAAAGAAGAAACAAGACAGAATGGCTACCTAGGCAGCAACGCTGACATCACGAGGGCCTTCAGGCAAATAGCTAGCGGCAACATTGCACTGACGGAACAGTCTGACCTCGTCCTCGGCAAAGGCGCCAACAACAGAGTGCAGGACTCCACGGTTGTGGAAGAGCACAAAGTCACCCTCCTCCCAGTCGTGGGGATACACTCTCTCGGGTGCAATGCCGGGGCGCTGAATGCGATAGATGATTTCGCGGACCTTTTCCAGGTCGTCAATGACGGTGCCGTCAGCGAGGTGCAGCTTGCGGATCGCAGACGGGTGGACCTGGACGGCCAGCTTTCCAGTGACGGGGTTGCGCCAGCAGAGCGGCAGGATCTGGATCTTGTCCTCCTCAATGGGCGGCAAGTCGTCCATGGGCACCTCTTTGCCTTCCGAGATCATGCCCAGTCCAGTCGAGCGAGCCTTGGCGCTCGACATCCAGATGTAGGGGTGAGGGGCATATTCAATCTTGCTCGTCCGCACAAACTCCTTGTCGGCATCAGAGAGAATATCATACATGGTGTAGCCCGACACGAATGCAGTGGTGCCCAGAGGAACGTCGAGCACGTCTCCCGTGCCATCGTCGTAGCGGCAGGTCTGGCGGCGGCCACCTGGTACCTTTACGGCAAGCAGGGTGGTAACGATTGGCGGAGCAAGGCCGTAGAGCGCCGCATCAATGTGCCACCGGTAGAAGCGGGTAAAGTCGAGGTCTTCCTCGGCTGGGATCTGGGTCGCGTGAAAGGTTCTGTGGTGCGGGTGTCTGAGTCTGAAATCCTTCAACCCCTCGTATTCTGCCACGGGACCGTTGCCAATCACCTGGACTTGTGGCTGGTGGGGAATGGTCTTCAAGTCGGGGTGCAGAACGCTACGCTTGGCATCGATCGTCTTGCCGTGGCCGTACGAGGTCGCAGCAGGATCGAAGCGGTTGGTCAACTCGTACTGGGCCTTGGGCGACACATGACCCTGGTTCTTGAAGATCAAGACCTGGTTTCTGAACAGGGCATCGCGAATAACGTCAAAGTCGGCATCTAGTCAGTTGTCAGCCTCTGCGGGGTCCAGCGGGACGAGAGGATAGCTTACCGAGGAGGTTACCGATTTGACGGGTGATCTCCCATGTTTACAAAGTCATCACAATATTATCAAGTTCATGATCAAATCTTACCAGTTAGGTTCTCAATGTCCACGTTTGATACGGTGGCGCCAAATTTGACGCCGGATGTTTCGGGCACAGCCAGAGGCTCAACGGTGATGCTAGACATGTTTGCAAAATGATCCGAAGCTGTGTGCAAGAGGGGAAGTTGTGGTGCTGATGAACTTTTTGTCCTTTTTTGGCAGTTGTCTGAGAGAGTCGAGGAGGCAGATTCGAGGTGTTGTCAAGAAGTGTCCTGCTTGAGCTATATATAGTGAGCCAGAACTTGTTCTGTTCAGCAGCGTTGATGGTAAAGATAAGATTCCGCTTAGCATCAAAGTATCGCATTCGTCTGGGGTTTCGGGCACGAGCGTACGGGTAGTGGCGCTTCGACCCCGGAATTGGCCGAACAAGGAGAAAATCCACCTTTGTCAAATCGATTTTGCCATCAGCATCTCATTCTCCTGACCAATACCATGTAGAAAGCTTATCTTTGCGGCCATCCACGTAATTACGTCGCATATGTATCTGGTATCTGCTTGAGCAAAGCAACTGTGTTACCTATGCACACATGATTGCTCAAGGTTCTGGCTGATATCCGGCTAGGTCTGCTCAGTGGTCGCATTGGAACTCGCCGAGTCCAGTAGGTATGAGAGGCTCAGCTCTGTCGGCCATCCCCTAAGGCTTACACAGATGTCAGCTGTGCTTCCGAAGTTGCAGCAGCCTAGAGCTTGACAGACATACACGGACTTTTAATTTCGCCAGGCAAGATCTACAAGAGCGATACACACTGAGAGATTGAAAAGACGAACAAATTTATACTCTTTAAACCAACCAATCATCGAGCCCAACCTCTGCCAACCCATTTAGCGAGCACAAATGCGACGTAAACTTATGGCCTAGATTATGTTTGGCTAGTTGGGTCATGCTGGAATGCCCCATGGAGAAGTTGGCTGAGACCAACTGCAAGGCGGCAGGGCAGGCCTTTGCCCAAATACTATCTGTTCCCAAGTATGCGTTACTCGTTCTTAAAGACATTCCTCCCATCTATATGCACACAAAAAAGTGTTCAAAGATAATCAATATCAATTGAGAAGACTTTTAGAATACCCTGAAAGGTGTCACCAATTGTTTCCCGATTGCGGGCATTGATCATACAGTTGGCTCTGGGCACGTTCTGTGATGAATATCACCTCCAGGGCTGTTGCAACCTCATCAAGCTCAATCCAAGCAATAACTTTGTTGGACATGACCAAAATTCATCTGTACAATCGCTCATAAGGAAATTGAATTTGACCATGAGGCGACGTCGGGAAATGGTTCGGAACACAAAGACCCCTCTCATGGATGCAGAGTTCCTTGACTTACACAACCTACTAGCCCCGGATTTCGATAACCGCTACCCAAGGATGACCGCGATATATACAAATGGGCCATGTCTACGCACAACAAGTCACCCACTTCGGAGATGAGATGAGATATAGCTTTGCAAAGAAAACATCTATTTCAAAATATACTCTTCTCTATTCAACATGTCGGAAAACGCTCAATTTGCTACCAAAGTCATTGCCCTCACCGGCGCGGCGTCGGGTATAGGTCTGGCAACAGCCCACGTCCTCGCCGGCAGGGGAGCCAAGCTTTCTCTAGCCGACGTGCAAGAGGAAGCGCTTCAGAAAGCCAAGGCAGAGATTGAGCAAAAGCACCCGGGCGCCGAAGTCATCACATCCGCGCTCGACGTGCGCAAGTACGAGCAGGTGGACAGCTGGATCGGGGCGACGGTCGAGCGCTTCGGCCGGCTGGACGGCGCCGCGAACCTGGCCGGCGTCATTCCGCAGTCCATTGGCCTCCAGGGGCTCAAGGACCAGGACTTTGCCGAGTGGGACTTTGTCATGGGCGTCAACTCGACGGGCGTCATGCACTGCCTGCGCGCGCAGCTCGCCGTCCTGGCCGACAATGGCGCCGTCGTCAACGCCTCGTCCATTGCCGGGACCACGGGCCGCGCAAACAATGCTTCGTACGCCGCGTCCAAGCACGCCGTGCTCGGAATGACCAGGTCGGCGGCCAAGGAGGTTGGTGTCAGGGGAATACGCGTCAATGCCATTTGCCCGTAAGTTTTTTGATCTTTTAAATGCGGCGCGACTCGCCGCGGCCAGTAAATGCTGACAGCCAAATTCTCAGGGGAACCATCGCGACACCCATGCTGAAGAGTGCTCGGGACATTAACGGCGGCAAAGAAGGCAACGAGAGTCACCCCGAGTTAAATCAGGTAGCACTGAGACGGGTTGGCCAACCCGAAGAGGTTGCGAAGTTGATCGCGTTCCTCCTCAGCGATGAATCCACATACATTAGCGGCAATGATATTAGCATCGATGGAGGTTGGAGATGTTGATCGGGTTCCGCCCATCTTGATATCTTTAGGTTTTGCACGTGTGCAGTTGTTCACGATGTTGAACAAAAGTAATGGTGTGCTGAGCCGGCGGCTCACCTTTTGGATCATGTTAGCGTTGCGTAGTGTAGGAATTTGTGTCTTGGAGCAAACCATTCCCGCGACCAAAAGAGCTGTACGTCACATTATAGATTCCATTCCAGTTTTAAGGTTCAATCAATTATTTGCTTGCTATTATCATGGTATCTTGAAACGCTAAAATTTACTCAATCTTGATGCCGACCTTGCCAAAGTGAGATTGCTTCCACTGTAAGAGACATGGGTTAGCAAGACATGTTCGTTTGTAAGCAGGACAATCAAATCAATGCTTACCATGTACTCGTAGGCCTCGCGGGTCTGCTCGAGGGTGAAGATTTTCTTGTCGACGACGGGGTGGATGTTGTTGGCCTCAATGGCAGCAACCATCTCTTGCATCTGGGCCTTGGAGCCGACATAGACACCGCGGGTGGTGCAAATGTTGTTCAAGACCTCCAGGATGGAGGACTTGGACTTGACACCGCCGAGGAAACCAATGATGCTGATGATACCCTCGAAGCGGATGGCCGCCAGACTCTGCTCGAGCGTGCCAGCACCGCCGACCTCGATGATGTGGTCGACGCCCTGGCCGTTGGTGGTGAAGCCGCGGGCCGTCTTGCCCCAGTTGGTGTCCTCCTTGTAGTTGATGACGTGGTCGGCGCCGAGCTGCTTGAGCACCTCGCCCTTCTCCTTTGACGACGTGGTGGCAATGACGGTGGCGCCGGCAGCCTTGGCGAACTGCAGAGCAAAGAGGCTTACACCACCAGTTCCCTGCACCAGCACCGTCTCACCGGGCTTCAGGGGCTTCAAGCCGTAGAGAGCATTCTATAGTTGCGTACGAGGTCAGTCATCATATAGATCCGTGCACACAAAAGACATGGGCTTCTTACCCAGCTCGTAAGACCAGCGCAGGTCAATGTGCTAGCCTCAACGTGGTCCAAGTTCTTGGGAGCACGCACGAGGCCGTTCTCGTTAAAGACACCAAACTGGCGCAGAGTTCCGTCCAGGACACCACCGAGACCAGTCTGGGATGCGGCCAGAGTGATGGGATTAAACTGGTGGCCCTGGTTGAAGAGGGTAACGACCTTGTCGCCCTTCTTCCACTGCTGAACCTTGGAGCCAACCTCGACAATCTCACCAGCACCGTCAGATCCGCCGACAACGGGGAGGTTGGTCGGGAAAGGGTAGAAGCCCTGAATGAATGGCCGGTTAGACAACAGATATTGATTACACGGGCTCGTTGTGTCATCTTTGGACTTACCTTGGGAATGATCAGGTCTCGGTAGTTGAGAGATGCACCTTGCAACTTGACGAGAACCTCGTTCTCTCCAACCTTGGGGACGGGGGCGTCCTCGTACTTGAGACCGTTGAAGTCATCCTTGGTGCCCTGGATAGCCCATTGCTTCATTGTTGCGGGAGCAGCCATTTTGTATGAGTCTTTGTTGATTTAGTCTTTGAGAAGGGAAAAGAAATAGCAAAAATTTCTTTTCACGTATATTTTTGGGTATAATATCGTACAAGCACCAGTATATGGAGAGAGCTATCGTAAATGTAGCAGGGTCTTGGTAGCGTTTATAGCCGAATATATACTCCCTCAAATAGCCGGATTTTCTAAGTTTTTCTTCCATCTGTTGCATACCCCACGATGGCCACAAGTTTCCCCTGCGATTTGTAAGAAGGACATGATGGAAAACTTCCGTCAAGGCCGTTGTTCACACACTGGCCCACTGGGGAACCCTGTTGGCACTTGACGTTGAATGGGTCTCACACGTCATTTACTTTTCTCAAACTTTTCCAGTGTTCGCCAGTGTCATGCCATGTGCGGAGCTCGGCGACAGGGGAGTGCCGCACTTGCTGCGAGCCTTATTGAGGGGATGTGGAGCGAATGAGAGGCTCCTTGGAGGTTTGAACGCTACCTTATATCTATTGTACCATGTATTACTGGACCCTTTAGAAATGACATACTTTCGTGAACTTGCAAGTCGATTTTGAAAAAGGAAAATGGGTGTTTGCGGAAGACATTTTCAAGGAAACGTCAGCCAAATCTATTAAGTACGAAGCATTCGACCATATACCACATGCACTTTGCTGACTTTATCGTAGATTTGAATGAGCATAAAACATTAGTATATGGTAAACTAATGGAAATGTTCAGCATGGTCAAGGCAATCCCGGCGCTACCATTCACTGGAGTGAGGCGCCCCAAATTGACCCATCAATGGCCCCTCGGTGGGGATGGGGTATGCAAAACACCAAGTCAGTTGCCATAGTCCAGATACCGACTTGAGCCACCCACCAACAAACAGCCTTGCCACGTGCTTCTCGATACTCTTCTTGCAATTTCTTCCTTCCTTTTCCATCAACCACCGACCGCTGATTGACCGATCATGCTGCCGTGGATAAGATTGCGTCTTCTCTGAGGTTCTGATTCAGTCCGTCTCGCATGACGCAGTTCTCCAACTTGAAGCTCCCCGCGAGTGCCTCGAGTTCCGCCTCCGTCTTGTCCGCAAAGAGCTCGGCAAACTCGTCGCTCAGGAACTCGCTCAACACGCAATTGCGCACCGCCCGGGTAATGTGCTGCGCAAATGGCCAGATGTTCGGGTAGTGCCGCTTCCTGTACTTTTCCGGCACCATGTCCTCGAGCGCCGCGATGAAGGGGTCGTAAATGTGCTTGACGCCATTGTCCTGCCATCCCCAAAAGTCCAGGGCGCATTGTGCCTTTTTCTGAAGGAACGGCTCAATGAGCTTCATGTACGGAGACTCGGGGTCCAGGTACACCATTCCCTGGTAGCCAATGTCCTTGTAGAGCCAGATGCTCCAGCTCGCGCTCGAGTCGCGGTAGATGTTGAGCTGTTCCTTGAGCAGGGCAAAGCGCTTCGCGTTAATGGTGGCAGCCGCTTCCACGCCAATCTTGAGGGGATCTTCGTACACGGGACCCCATTCGCCGTTCCAGATGGGCACATTTTGCTGCTTCATGTACGCGGCCTTGCGCTCAAACTGACTCCGCAGCTTCTCCTTCTGCTCTGGTGTGCCTTCGAATTGCTCTGGGACGGGGAATCCCATCATGGCGTAGTCGTGGCACGCATAGACGCAGTTGGGCAGGGCCTCGGAAGGAAACTTGGTGAAATCCATGGCATAGGTGTTGCCCTCGAGGAACAAGATGTGGTCCGCATCAACTGCTCGGATCGCCTTTTCGACACGCGCGTACCAGTCCACCAGTCTGGTGTGCTCGGGGTCGGCTGGCTCATTGAGCGGATTGTACCCTGCAATAAAAGGGTTGCCACGATATCGTTTGGCCAACTCAACCCATAGATCAATGGCGCGGTCCTGAAAGTCCTTGAACTCCCAAAAGAGGGCCTTGTTGATGCCAGAATCGGAATGCCAGTCCTGGTTCTGCCCGCCTGGTGCCGCGTGCAAGTCCAGGATCACGTAGAGATTGTGCTTTGCGCAGCGCTGGACGATCCTGTCGAGAAAGGCAAACCCTTCCTCCTTGTAGACTCGAGGGTTCATGTCATCCTCGAAATGTCTATAGTTGAATGGTACCCGGATACAGTTCAGGCCCAAAGAGGCAAAGAACTCGGCGTCTGCTTCCGTGAAAAAATAGTCGAGAAATCGGTCAAAAAAGAACTTGTACTTTTCCGGCCCCATGGCTTTCAGCATTGCTTTTCGGTGTTCATGTTCATGTCCTGGATAGCCGGTGATGAAATTTTCCATGTTCATATGCCCACCCAGTCCTGCGCCCTTGAGTATAACCTTGGCACCTTCACTGTCTACAATATCCGTCCCCTGTACCCGGAGTAAGGAGCATGGTTTTCCGACAGGAGGCGAGATATTGGGCTTAGTATCTGCCGCCATGTTGGTGTCGATTTAGGAGAAATGAGATGAAATACAAAATTTTGAACAACTCGATGCGTCCGTGACTCAACTGTGATAATGCCAGATGAAACTGATATTCTGTCCGGGTACAGCTTCTGCTTTATATCTTAGGTTGGGTATATTGGTCCGAGTCCACTTGTCCAGGCCAACGGAATGAGCCCGATACTCCGCGACGTGCATGACGGACCCCTGCACAATCATCACGAGGTACACTATAATCAAAGCCAATGAGAAGCCGATGGGCGACTTTGCCGGCCAATTCCCGCCGTGTAGGAAATCATTTATTTCATAAGCTTTTAGCTTTGATAGAATTTCATGTACCATGGTAAAGACTTTCTAGTAAGACTATGATACTATCGCTTGCGCCCACATTCTCGGATCGCCAATATCGAAGCATGTCAATAGTGTCCCGTACAAGTGTTTCCCATCCAGCCGGCAGTAACACAGCCGCCGTCTCGCTTCTCGAGGCAGCCAGGAGAACGAGGGCGCTCCGTAGGCAGGATTGCAGAAGCAGCCAAGTCCCATGATGTCTGTAGCGGAACCCCGTCCGGTTAATGTTCAAGCACTCTAAATGGACGGCGAGTCCTTTCGCCGCACATGAAACTACCAATGGAGATGCGTTGCCTTGATTGACCACGGCATATACAAAAGGCCACCATATTGCTTCATAATAGCTTGTGACGTGCCCACGGAGAATAAATCTCAGCACCTCGCTCTCGTTCTTGTTATCGAACAAGTCGAGATTGACATCTGGCGCAAGGGACTGTGACCACTCGGCGCCCTTCTCTTCAAGTTCATGGCTTAAATCAACAAGGCTCTCGAGAGAAGGATTATTGGATTTGGAATGAAATATTTCCATATCTCTTCTCGCCCTAGTAGACAAACGCCAAAGAGATATTTCCGACAGGTAAAAGTACCAGCCAGTCAACTGCTCTCCTTCATTCAGAGTTTCTGGCAAGCTGGGGAATGATTTAGGATGGTCATTCGCCAACTCCCCAAAATCCGGTAGACTCAGAACCCATCGAAGCTCCCTTTCCGACTTCCAGCAGGACCAGTATATGCACTCTTCAGCATGAGCGGAGGCGCGCGGAGTTGCAGCGTCTGTTTCACCGGCCAAGAACTTGAACTGCTGGCATGCGGCGAGAGCCTGGAGGAACATTCTCCAAGCGTCATGTGGCTGCAATAAGCACATCTTGTATACTCCAAACAGAAACAGGCACTGCGCGGCGATCAATCCGTGGCTCGCCATGACGATTCCCAGACGTTTCTGCGCGGCCTGGTAGAGCGCCGGCGCCTGTGACTGTCTCATCCTAGCAGCTGACATGGACTCGGCAAAGAAGGAGCGAGCGATTGCTCCATTGGCGCAGATGATGAGTGCCAAACACGATTCTTCGTCCCAGCCAATACCTTCGGAGAATACTCTTTTTACCAACCGTCGAGTTTGGTTCTCGGAAAGGATTGGGTTCTTGATATGGACGAAAGAAAAGAAATTGTCAAGAAGGCCGTCACACGTGCTGGGGTCTAAATCTACGTTGAGCGTTGATGTGGCTAACATCATCGTCTGGGACGTAGTATGAGAAGCTGTGCTTTGATCTTTTAAAACATCCCAGTATTGTTTGACCACGTCCCAATCCAAAATCGCGTCCAAGTTTCCAGGGAACAAATGATGCTGGTGCTGCGGAGCCCGAGATATAACATCAACAGAGGGTTGAAGCGTTGGCCGAGTGTTCGTCTCTATAGATTGCATCAACTGACTTTGCAATTCGTCAAGTCGTTCCAAGATTCTCAAGCTTGCTGGATCAAAGGTTGACATGACATCTGGTGCCATGACACATTCTGCTCCAGTCCGCTCACAAAAGGAGCATTTTGGTTTTTTATTATCGCATTTGGTTCTTCGGCTGCGGCAGACCTGACAGGCAGTCACAGCACGCTTCCGAGTGTACGATGTCGTTCCTCTGGAGGTTGGCCCAAGTCGCCTTGTCCGTTTGGAGGGTCGACTTTCATCGTTGGACCCTGTGTTGTGCTCCATGGACGGGATTATACCGTGGGCCTTGAGATTGGACCTGGTTGGAACAAGTGAAGCTGGGGTTGGATTAGACGCGGAATGTCGGGATCTTGACCACATGCCTAGACGTGGACCTAGTAACCTAGCGTCCAAACTTGAGAGGGGCAACTTCGCACACCGTGGAGCAGCTACACCAGGATAACAAGATCCCGGGCAACGTCTAGAAAGCCGAATCATTGTTGTTAGTACATAGTATGCTCTACATTTGGTACCAGAGAACTATTATTAGTGCAAACTTCTCAACTTTCATGGAGGATTAAAACAGTGACCTGGTATAATTAGAATCGCATGAATATAGCTTTCCTTTGTCGTACTTCCTAGCCTTCTTGGATAACTCTGCCCTTTTTACTTCTTATTCCCACCTAGTAAAGAACCCAAACTAGCTGAACCATAAATCTGGATAATTGTAACTACTAATTGACATATTATATAGTAAACGTCTTTAATTCTGTCTCGGTCAAAGTAATACTCATTATATTATAAATGCGACTGTCCGGACGAACCCCAGGTTATTCACCTATCCAGTATTCATCCCACTTTGACGCTAATTTGCCCCGCCATGAAATTTCCCAAGCATCGAGTTCGTCGAGCTCCATCAAGCTATAGTAAAGAATAATTTCTTGACTTTTCCCATTCTTCCTCGTTGGAGCCCAAACGATCGCATTCTCCCTAAGAAATTATTCAGAAGTGGGAGAGACCCTCGGACTCACCAGCATGCCTCTCGACACATCGACCTACAATTTAGCGCTCCTGCGCGTCGACGGCCGGCGCTGGAACGACCTGCGCCGGCAGCACGCCTCGATAAGAACTCAGGCCGCCGCGGACGGCTCGTCGTACCTAGAGATGGGCAACACCAAAGTCATGTGCATCGTGACGGGGCCGTCAGAGTCGGCACGGCGGGCAGCCCAGTCGTCCTCGGCGTCGACCGCGTCGGGGCCGGGACCCAACAGCGCCGAGGTGGCCGTCAGCGTCGTCGTGGGCGGCTTCAGCACCGTCGACCGCAAGAAGCGCAGCCGCACCGACAAGCGCACCCAGGAACTCCAGGCCACCATTGCCAAGGCCCTCGCCGGCACCCTCCACCTGCACCTGTACCCGCGCTCCACCATTGCCGTCTCGCTGCACGTGCTGTCCCAGGACGGCAGTCTGCTGGCCGCCCTCCTCAACGCCGCCACCCTCGCCCTCATTGACTCGGGTATCCCCATGACCGACTACCTAGCTGCCTGCACGGCCGGGTCTACGAGCTCTCACGCCGCCAACGACGAGGGCGCCGACCCGCTTCTCGATCTAAATCAGCAGGAGGAGCAGGAGCTGCCATTTCTGACCATGGCCACGCTCGGCGCGAGCGACAAGGTGGCTGTACTGGTGTGCGAGAGCAGAGTCCAGATCGGAAGACTGGAGGGCATGATGGCTGTTGCGGCCGATGGTTGCAGATGGGTTCGAAACTTTCTGGACGATGTGGTGAGAGAAAAGGGTGCCAAGATGGTGAGAGAGGGAGCCGTTCAGAAGGGAGATATTGTGGACATGGATCTCGACTGAGAGCAGTCTTTGTGACAGTTGCAGAGATAGATCCAAGATCTTGCAGGCGACATCTATGCAGGAATAGCTGTACATAGCCTAGATCTGGAAAGCATTTGCAAGGCGTTGGGCAGGTACTAGGTTCTAGACAAAAAGGGTCAGGCGTTTGGCGTCACGAGATCAGACGAATATTTTGGTCAATAAGAGCATTTCTGATGTTTTTGTCCTTTACTATCAAGCCTAGAAAAATTTGCACAACTTGCAAATATCTCCACTCCTTGATTGCAAGCCATCTATAGTTCATCGCGCTCATGCTCGGCGGCTTCAGTAGCCTCGGGTGTTGGCTCCGCGCCCTGCCATGAAGTTGATGTGCTCTCTGGCTCAGCCTCTCCAGCCTCAACCTTGACTTCTTCCTCAATCTTGACCTCGACGGTTCCTTCAGTGATTGGATCATTCTCCTCCTGAACAAAAATCTTGATCTCAGGCAGCTTTCTCTTACCACCCTCGTTTAGGCGAATAACGTCGATCCAAGCCATGAGGCTGTCGTGCGAGTGGTCGCCCTCGTACAGTCTCCACCATCCACGTTTGCCGTTGATTGCAATAATCTCCACCTTATTCTCGAGGTGAAAACTCTCAAGCATCGAAGCGACATTGGCGTCATCCGTTTGAACTTCGTAGAAAGGGAATACTCGTCGAGCAACAGGGCCGTCGTATTTGATGCCCACCCCGCGCAGACCCTCGAGAGCTTTCTCAGCATCTTCTCCATGTTCCTTGGGCACGAATGCCAGGACACATGTACCGGCCTTTGGATTCAAGCAAGCCTTGGTCAGCTCAATTGCATTGTCAATGACACCGGTCAAAGCGAGTGGTTCCTTGGTCGCAGGCTTGGCCTCTGGGGTAGATTCGCTTGGAGCAGTGGAAGCTTCGGCAGCCTCGGGCTCCTCACTCTTGGGCTCGGCCTTCTTGGCTGGCTTCTCCTTCTTGTCCTTCTTGACCTTGGCCTTTTCAGCACCAGTGACCGGGTTTGGCTCAGCGACTTGGGAAAGGAACTTGACCATTCCCTCCTTCTTCAATTCTCCATCGTAAAGGACAGAGGGCTTGTCGCCACCAGGCAAAAGAACCAAAGAAGGGTAGTTCTCGATGCCAAAGATCTCGTTGGCCTTGCTTTCCTTGTTGCGGATCTGGGCAACCTGTATGACATCCAAATAGTCAATCGCAATGCTCTTGAGCAGTGCGCTTGTCGTGCCCTTTTCCGTGAACAGAATTGCCTTGGCCGTGTCGTTGTTCTTGCTTAGGAAGTCCTCGACGTCCTTGTCCGTGACTTTTCTAACATGGTTGTTGATCTTGTCAACAGTGGCACTGACAATTTCCTTGGCAGATCGTGGACCGTTGTAGTCTTCGACCACGGGCTTGCCGTATTTCTTGCCCGGGCGGACGATCTTGAGGGTTGGGAATCCCTGAATACCAAACTGTCCGCACAAGGGTTTGTTCTCATCCTCGTCGCAGTTCACGGCAGCGACACGGGCGAGACCATCAAGATTCTTGGCAGCCTTTTCATATGCAGGCTTGAGGTTTTGGCAGTGACCGCACCAAGGGGCGTAGAATTCCACAACCTAGGACAAATAGTTAGTTGATAGCTAGTCTTGAGAGGTACATGAGCTAGACGAATCCATGATTTGCTCGCTTTGGCACATACCGACGTATAGTTTGACTTGGCTACAAGTCGATCATAGTTCTTGGCATCGACTTGGATCACTGGTGAGTTCTTTGTGTATAAACCACCAGCTTGCACGTTGGGGAGAGCTGCCAGTAAGCTCAGAGCGATCGTGGTAATGGTGGGGCCAGAGGTATACATGCTGGCGGTGCGGAATTGCAGATGAAGGTAAGGGTGGAGTTTAAAGTGGCAGTAGAGCGAAACTGGTGTCAGTCAATGAGTCGGAAGAAGACGACGGCTGTCTTATGCCATTCACTGGCAGCAGTGACTGTACTCTGTAGTCAACACAATCGCAGAAGCGGGCAGACGAGTACAAAAGAAAAGAAATAGACGGAAAATCCTCGAATTCAAAGCCCGGACCAAGAAAGCAAATGGCCACTTTGGAAGTTGACCTGTCTTCTTGCTCAATTAGGAAATCAGGCCAGCGTGGAAAATGGCACGAGGAGTTGCTGCGGCGGTTGACTTGTTGCATCGGTTCACCCGAGATCTGGCCAATTGCATGATGGAGGCAGTGGCTGAATGGCAAGTTGTGGCACGAGCTCCAGAGCTATCTGTAACAGGTCTAGTGTCTCTCGGCGCGGTTCCGCTCGGGTGGAGACCGACATTGATGGCGGGGGGAGGAAACGCAAGGGTACAGCTCTGGCAGCACCGACGTCAACCTGCGAGATGCGCCTCCGTCTCAGATAGTATCTGCCTGCTGCCACTTCTACTTTAATTAGGCATTTGTGCACGTGGTCGCAAACGAACTGACATATCGCGCCCCAGACGAGTCGCGATTCACTATTCCTTCTCAACAAGAGCAGCATCCACAAACAACCCGGGAACATGGCAAGCAGTATCCCCGCAAAGCTCAAGGCGGCGGGCATCACGCCGTTCGTGGTGCGCGGTAATCAGCTTCGAACCGCAAAGCCAGTCGTTTCCTACTGGTGTAAGTATGCTGGTCGACACCAATTTGGAATACTTTCTCATCGTGAACTCTAGGCGACTACTGGGTGGTCAATCAGATCTTGGCAAAGCAACTCCATAACGCCGATGAGGAATGCCTTCAGTTCACAACAGCAATGATGGACCAGCTGGAGGAGGTACGTAACAAAGTCTCTCCCACAACTGGAATAACTTACCGATATCCGTTCCAAAGATGAAAGCAAACAACCAAGGCAACACGGCTATACTTGACGATAATGAGGGCCGCGCATACGTCGAGCAATTTGCGCAGGAGACACTCGACCGCGCAATGCGACCCCTCAAAGCCAACAAGGTCACTCAACAGACGGCAGTTACCTTTGAAGCTGCTGCTACATTTCTGCAACTGATCAATATCTGGGGGGCGCCGGGAGTCGAGATTGAAAAGAAGATCAAGTTCGCCAAGTGGAACGCGGCACGGATACTGCGCGCGATCAAGGAGGGCAAAGACCCCAACGAGTCCAACCCGCAGATTGAGGAGGAAGAGAAAGTTGATGAGGACGACCCCGAGCTACAAGCAATCATGGCCGGTCAGGCACCCAAGGCTGCCACAGTAGAAGATGCGACAGACGAGGAAGGAAAGGGTTATTTGAATCCCAACGCCGCGGCAGCTGGGAGCTCTGCATACTCGGCTGGGCCCGTCTCGGCACCGACATCACCACCCCATGGTACAGCGCCGGCTCCTGAACAAGTATCACCCATTACACAACCCACTCCCGAGGGATACTTTCCTTCAGCGCCGGCAGCAGCCGACGATGATCCGCCTCTACAGCTGCCTTCAGCACCTGCTGCTCTGGGTGATCCAGACGTGAGCATACCCAGCCCTCCGGCTACGGCGCCATCGAACCAGAGCCCAACAGACCAAAGCGCGCCGAATCTCCCGGATACGCCCCAGGGTTTCTACCGCCCAACACCGTCAGATCTGTCGACACCCTTCCAGCCACCACAACAGCCACCACCTCCTACCCAGCCAGCGATGCAGTCACCGCCTCCTGCATCCTTTTATCAGCCGCCCCCAGCCCAGCAGCCTGTCATACCAACATTCACTGCACCTGCTCCTCAACCCGTGCCCGCAGCTCAGACACCGCAGCTACCACCACCGATGAATGTTGTGTACAATGTCGATGATATGGCGCAAGCGCAGGCACAAAAACATGCCAAGTGGGCTATTTCTGCCCTCAACTTTGAGGACGTGCCTACTGCAGTTCGAGAACTGAAAGCAGCCCTAGCTGCTCTAGGTGTGCAATAGTGATGAATTCACAGCATGACCGAATGGATCGGGATCGCGAGCGGCTATTGATATCGGTAGTAATGTAGAAAAGGGCTCATCAAGCATATGCCAAAGGAGTTGTACTCATTTTCAACTAAAGAGAGCATCTGTCTTGCTACTTTGTACATAATTCAGCAAGGCACTATGGCTTCCTCGCCGAGTCCCTAATGACCGTGAAGTCTTTCCAATGTGAAAAATAGCATAAACAACGAAGCGAGCGTCCTTGATCGCATCGTTTCTATAAAAAGTTCCCTGTACGTCACTTTCAATACCGAAACAAAACGACACAAGCCGTTCTCGTGCATCAGAACAAGCGCAGTGCGTTATGAGGTAAACGTTATGATATTGGGGTCGTAGTTCGGATTTAACCCCGTGTTTGCCGGAATCATGCGGCCGTCCACGATGGCGGCTATGCCGATGGGCTCATTATTGGGAATAGGTTCAGGAGGAATAATCTCCTCTCCGTCATCCCAGCCCTTCTCGGGTCCCCAGGCGAGTTTACAGTCCATCTTGCTGGTCGTATCTAGTAGTCCCTTCATCATGGCACCGTTCTTTCTCACACTGGGATTCGCATCGAATTCGACAAGCCTGCACCATGGCATCTCGTGCAATATAGCTTCCAAGATATCCTGAGAGAACTTTTCGTAAAATCCGTCTGAACGACGGAATCCCTTGAAGATGTCATTGCTGGGGTCGCATTCCACGAATACCTTGATACGATGTACGTTGACGCAGCCTTTCAGACCAAGTGCCTCGTTGACAACCCAGCCACGCGGAGGTCGGTTCCAACCTGGGCCAAGTCGGAGTTCGAGAGTAGTCAGGCTGGATCGCTGGTTCGCAGACATGCGCGCAAGCAGTGGCTTCTTGGACTTGAAAAACTTGCCCCAAATGGGGAAGATTCGAACGGCATGCGTACTGTAGAAGGCGTAGCTGGCCTCTCGATACATCTGCCGACAGGTCTTGAAGATGATGAGCTTCTTGTGGATGCGCTGGTAGTTGTCATGGTCAAGATCGAGAACATCGCCAACGTTTGCAAAGTGAAAATCGAATACCCTCAGGCGTAACTCTGACGGCAGATCAAAGAAGCGAAAAGGTGGTGCCTTCTTCTTCTTTGGTTTGTTCGATAGCGGTATATCGACAGTAAGGGATGCGATGTTGCTGGTAAGCGAGGCGATGGAGTCAATCATGGCGGATTCGGCGTCTGAGGTGTTACCCGATGGAACAGCGGAACTTGAAGCTGTGCTGGGCGCTGTGATGATGGGTCGCGGGGCCCTTCCTCCCGTCGCTCGACGTCGCATTTTGCCTGTATCTCTGTCGGCGATAGTCAAGTGATATGGCATGACAAGTGGTTACTTGTAGTGGCGACTGCAGTAAAAGACAGTCGCAGTGGTGTGCTTTTTGTTTGTGTACTGATCACAGGCCTTTTGGCTGTATTTTAAGCAAAATTGATCAGGTCGCAGTTGTTCTGTATAATAATCGTTGCTTCAATTTAGTATTCAAATATGACGAGGCGTACCGAGGGTGGTGCCATCGTGATATTTCAGCGAGCGACTGCCACCCTCTTAGAAAGCAGCACTCATTGCTGCCATATCCAGAATTCCGAGGGTGCTTTACAACGTAGAAGAGACGAACAAACGCGGACCTGCAAAGTCGCTGACTGCTTGAAATTGAAAAGAACGTTGCAATCAAATCACAACGAGGTAGTACTTCGGAGGGAGAGTTGGAAATTGTTATGATCAAGAGGGGAAGGAGACCACACGACAGACCGATGAGACGATGTGATGACTGGAGGGAAACAATGGGGGATAGATTGGCTTTGTACTACGGAAAGACCGGTAAAGTTTGTGCCAGTAAACCGTCCATTAATTACTTTCAATTCGGCGGCCCAGTCCAGTAAAGTCCGGGGTAAGATGATTGCTAATGGTGGGCGACTGGTCAAGTGACGGCTCAGACATTGTAGCAAGCGACTCAGTTGCTCACTGAAAGAGGGGCGGGCATCCATTGAGGGGCAATAAAGGAAAGTTGAAGGGTCTTTTGTGGCGAAACAAGTTGCTACTAGACAAAGCTCCAGTGTATGCGAGGTCCATTGTCCACTAGAGGCAACTATGGAACAGCTGAGAATTTGACCTTTCCAGCAGTTAGCAGGCACAGGCTATAGCTACTATCGATAAGAATAGTGAACCATCCGATGTCCAATCCATGCACCAGTGACGTACCAGAAGCGCTAGCGGCTCCCAGTCGCATCTCTGTCGGCGGTCGGAAAAAACTCGACCGGAACAAAATCGAATCTGGGAGCTTCCAATCGCGAGCTCTGGAAGGAAGCATTTGCTCAGCCGTACGCACGAGAGCCGCATCAGCCCATTATCTGCCAGCTCCCTCGCCCGGACTCAGATTTTCAATTCAGATCTATACGGCGTGGAATTCGTTTAATCAGCAGGGTGCATCAATTTTTTAACCCAAAATGCTTGCCAGGACCTTTATGCGCGCGGCGCAATCGCCTGTCTTGAGCAGAGCTGCAACTCGATCAATCCGAGCCCAAAATGTCTCTTTACCAGTCTCTGCCGTGCAATTACGTGGCATGGCACAAAACACCAAGAAGCCATCCGATTCACCAAAGCAGGCGCCCTCCGCCTCGCAACCAAAGTCTCAACCCCAGTCTTCAGAGTCCGAGTCTTCGCCTTCATCCAAGAGCGAGGAATCCCAAATACCCGAGACGCCTGAGGAGCCCCAAAAGCCCTTCAAACTTCCTGACCTAACACAGGGTATTCCCTCAACTCTCGAGTACGAAAGGGAGGGAGCTACGAACAAGAGCGCGCTCGCCGACTTGGAGGAGCTCGAAGCCGAGGGTGGCGGTCGACACAAGGGAGAACTCCCTGCTTCCGCATATATCTCGTCGACTGAGAAGCGACGAAACAGATGGGCCAACCGCATGTACCTGTCCGCTCTGGTTCTAGGTCTTGGAAGCGTTGCATGGCTTGGTCGTGACTGGGACGATGATGAGGCAGAAATGCACCGAGATATCCCGAACGGCTGGTCGCCGAATTTGTGGTGGACCCGTGCTCGTACACGCCTCAACGATTCACTCAGCTATTACCACGAGCCTGCTTTTGAAAAGCTTCTGCCTGACCCCGACCCCATGTTTGAGCGCCCATACACACTCTGTATCAGTTTGGAGGACATGCTGATCCACAGTGAATGGACGAGAGAGCATGGCTGGAGAATAGCCAAGCGACCCGGCGCCGATTACTTCCTCCACTATCTCAGCCAATACTACGAGCTCGTGCTGTTCACCACCGTCCCCTTCGCCATGGGTGAGCCATTGGTGCGCAAGCTCGACCCATATCGTTTCATCGTCTGGCCTCTATTCCGCGAGGCCACAAAGTACAAGGACGGCGAGATTGTCAAGGATCTTTCGTACCTCAACCGTGATCTATCCAAGGTTATCATGATTGACAGCAATGCTGCTCACGTTCGCAACCAGCCCGAAAACGCTATCGTTCTTCCCAAGTGGACCGGCGACCCGAAGGACAAGGACCTGGTTGCATTGATTCCCTTCCTCGAGTACATCCACACCATGCAATACAAGGATGTCCGAGATGTGCTCAAGTCTTTCGACGGCAAGAACATCCCCGTCGAATTTGCCCGTCGTGAGGCAATTGCCAGAGCCGAGTTTGAGAAGCAGTTCAACGCACACAAGCGAAAGCACACCTCGGGCATTGGAGCTCTTGGCAGCATGCTCGGCCTCAAGCCTAGCAACTTGAGCATGATGGTCCCGGCCGAGGGCGAGCAAAGCCCCAGCGAGGCTTTCGCTCAGGGCAAGATGCTCCAAGACATTGCCCGGGAGCGTGGCCAGCGCAACTACGAGATGATGGAGGAAGAGATCCGCAAGAACGGCGAGAAGTGGCTCAAGGAGGAGCAACAAGCACAGGAGAAGGCCCAGGCCGAGGCCATGGAGAGCATGAAAGGCTCGTTGACTGGCTGGTTTGGAAAGAACTAAAACAATCGGCTCCTTGAAAAAAAATACTTTGCTTGGATAACGACTTTACGGCATCTTTCCGCACGATTTCCAAGATTCGATCAAAATTTGATCAAAACCAGTCAGATCTCGTTGCCAACCATATCATGATCGGATGACAACCATCACGTATGTCAGCATGTAAGAGAAAGGGTGGCGGCATGTAAGAATAATGTGAAAGGGCGGGGATTGAGACTTCTCCCATGTCCAAGAAAAAGGCGCAGCTGGCGTAACTGCTCCATATAGATGGTTATTTTTGGCCGGATGTGCTTCCAGGTCGTGGGCCATGGAGGCCCCTCTACTCTACTCATCGTCATTTTCTGGCCAGGTGCATTAGAAGTGGGCTACAGAGAAATTTGCCACGTTCTTGTCTTTTTTTTGTAACATAGGCCGGCAATCGTCGATAAAGTACAAAGAGCCCTCCTCGATTTCTTTTTGGGGAGGTTTCCGGCGGCGGTATGTTTTGATAGCGGTCTACTCTGTCTGACCAAGAGCACGACAACACAAAATAAGTTTTTAATGATGTATATTAGTTGAAGAAGTGGACAAACAGCATGATCTATAAGATACAATGAATGCATCTCTCTCACAAACATTCATCTCATTGCATTCATTGTACACAATCACTTCAACCCTGGTGTGAAAATTTTGAACCATTTTGAGGTATATTAATACTAGGTTTGTCGAGCGACGGGGTTGTCCGCAGGTGATAGTTCACCTGTACAGAAATCAAATCACACCATGATAGCGCCCGCAAACGTTCATGTGGTGAACATGACGCCAACCAATGCTGCCATCTTGGCTGATTGCCCTTGTCTCGGATGTTTAATATGTACAATTGTTGCTTGCTGGATCTATGTAGTTTCCCTGAGGCCGTGATCTGACACAGCTCATATCCCTGCGAGGATGGAAAGGGGAAAGGAGACAAGCGCGCTCAAGAGCAATTTTGGGGTATCTTCTATGATTGGCGAAGTCGACTTTGTTTCTTTCTTTCTTTTTTCTTTTTCTTTTTCCGGTATATCAGGCACCTCCCATACTGCCAGTGCCATCATGAAACAATAAGAGCGGCCACTGGGTGCTATTGGCTGTCGTGGGAACATTTTGACCATTGATGCCTCCCACACCCAGGCCCAAGCTTGTTCCACTCGACGTCGCATCATTGACATTATTTGACCTCGGCCCGGCGCCAAGAGACATGAGTGCATTTGCACTGTAATGGTCTTGGTTGTCAACGACGGCAGCTGTCCAGTCTTGCCATGTATTACCTCCCGGTGTGCCTTGCCTCCACATCATGTCACCCGAGGGTTGTTGCAGGGAGGTTGCTTGAGCGGCAAAGGTACTCAGTGGATTGTGGTCACTGATTTGAGTTTGCGTCTGTTGTACTTGAGCTTGAGCTTGAGCCTGAGCTTGCGCTTGTGCTTGTGCTTGTGTTTGTCCCTGCACTTGCGACGTCGGCACTTGCCCAGTCTGAGAGTACAGATAAGGATCCTCGGCAGTATATGGCAGGCTACTTGGTTCGTGGGTAGATGGGTCGCTGTATGGCAGTGGGGGGTAGGAGGAGGCTTCAGCAGCCGAGTCCGGGTAGTAATTGTTGCGTGCCATGCCAGGATTTGGTGTTTCTCCGGCATTCAATGCTGGGTCGCTTGGCGGATTTGGATGGTTAGCAGGGATAGCCGACGAGCCAGCAGGCACGCCGGTATAGCCTTGTTGTTGCTGCTGTGGCGATTGTTTTAGCATCTCTTGAGTAACCTGAGGCAAAGATCCGTTAATCTTGCCCTGTCGATCATGTTCGATCCATGCGACTGTGCGGTCCACGATGGACGCTACAGCGTTCCGTAATGTCAAGCCGCATCCTGCTACAGTTAGCTTCAAAATCCCGTGTGCAGGAATATGTGCATTCAACTCACCCATTAGTTCGCATGAATCGGCCAAGATGATCAGCCAAGTGTCCATATCCTGACGTAAAACAGCAACTTCCGCCGCGTCCGTCTCGTGCCTCCTCTCCCAAACCGCTGCAAGAGAAGTAAACATGGCCGCAATGTACTCGGACAATGAGTACCATGTTGAATCTTGAGATTTCAGTTTGTATAGCTTGTAAGCAATGGTCAACATGTCCTTGGCCGCCTTCTCGCACACTTTACTGTTTTCTGCCATCAACTTTGGATCACTCGTAAGAGCCACGGACGGGTGCCGGAGACACAGCCTAAACTCGTGAAATATATATTCTGCGTAGAGCGCGAACATTTCGTTGTGGCCCTCCATGTCGCTGGAAGTTGAAGCCGGCTTCAAGGAGTCCGGTAGGTTATCCCACCAGGCGGTGATTCGGGCTTCCAGCTCCTCAATGATTGCAGGGTAAATGGTGGGATCTCTTTTCGTGCAGTAGATGGTAGCATACATATCCAAGTAGATGGATGCCGCCCGAAAACCTTCTACTCCGATCTCATAGAGGCATTTCCCAGTTCTGGATGTGTCAACTCCATCCTTGGTGAGCAGCTCATCCGGGATCATTTCTGGAAAGTCTACGTCAATCTCATCCAGCCGTATCGGCATGGGCTTCCCTTTTCGTCCGTGAAGAGTAACACCCATTGTGACGAGAGCCCAGAAGACGCGCTTGCGCATCTCGTTTTCCAGGTTGGTGCCTTCTCCGGGTTTCTTCATGGCGCGATGCAATCCGAGCTCAATGGCCATGCCTTGGCATGTCCACGTCACCATTGAGCTACAGTCTGGCTTTGGGAATGCTCTTGTGTGAACAGCAATCATGGTCAAGGCTTGTAGGTCCTCGAACGTTTTGGAGGTGGACAGGTCAAAGAACTTGCACAGGGCGAAATGATAGTGCTTGTTGGAGAGATCGTTCAGCTTGGTCTTTTGCTCAGGATTCTCGCGATTTCGAAGCCCATATTGCAAGTATATCGAGGCAAATACCATATGGACCATGACAGCCTCGGCGACAGTGGGCTTGAAGTTAGGGTCATCGTACAGGCGAGTGAGCTAGCATTGTAAGTTGAGTATTTCAAGCAGAAAAGCGAATGCCAAACTTACTATGTTCATGAATGTTGGCTTGTGCAACACGGGGATAAAGGGATACAACATGAGGAAATACCACTCGGCGTACGTGAAAGCATCTGCTCTAGGCGGATAATCGACGTGCAGTTGTGGGTTTACATTTGTACACGATTGCAGGAAGGCCTGAACTGACTTGTTGTACAATGGCGACTTGGCCTGAACGCCTGGTGCTGGCTCGTCCATGTCCGGGGCCTCAAAGAGTCCTAAATCAATCGTGCTGCCAAGTATTGACAGTTTGGTTCCCTTGATGGAGCTGAGCGGAGCTTGGTCTCCGGATACCCCTAGATGAACATCGGCCGTAGTAGACTTGGATCCAAACAAGGTCCTAGCAGCATGCGAGAAGTGTGACCCGGGTTTGTGGTTTTTTATCCATAACGACGGTCCCATCTGTGTCCAATTCTCTAGACCGTCATCAGCGGATGCGTCTTGTATGGGATTGCCTCTCGCATCGTAAGCCACCGTCGCAGGGTAGCCAGGGTTTTGAGGAAAGGCAGGCCTTGCATATGGTTTTACTTCGATGCCCTTTGTATCCAGTAACTTTTCGAGATCGCGAATGTGGTTAAGCATGTCCGTCTTCTCGCGTTCGAGCTCTTGCATGTACCCTCGTCGCTCGGTCCGGCCTGTTACTCGATCCGTCACATAGCACTCGAGGTTCTGGTTGATGCAGTGGGAGCATCCTTCTGGTAGAGCATCGCACCGGATTTTGCGAACCTTGCAACGATCACATGCCTAGAGGAGTGTCAAGTCAGCCACGCGTTGTCGGAATGGGCGCAGGCGCGCATTCAAATATTGGATGCGCGCTGCAAACAGTCAAGTAGCACAATGCGACTCTTGATGGTACTTACTTGACCGGTCCTAGTGTAGGACGACAGCTTGCTCTTGACAACACTGGAGAAGTCGTTCGGGGTGCCGCCGCGATCCAGCCTGGGCAGCTTGCATTTTGCAGCAGCTTGGCCGTCTGCGCCGTCGATCTCAGACTCTCCGGGCCTCTTGGGCGGCCGCCCTGGAGGCATGTCTCGTGGGTGGTGGATTTGCCTACCAACGCGCGCGTCTGCGAGTTGCCCCCCCAAGATCAGACCCAGCGTGATTACCAAATCAAACCCTGCTATTTCGAATGCCGTCGACGGCTCGTCCAGTCACTCGCTGAACTCACTCAGCTCGCCCAGCTCCAGTTGGCCCAACGCGACAAGGCAATGGAGCTTGCCGGGCAGAGCGCGGGCGTGGTAAGCTTAGTCCCAAGGGCGGTTTTGGCGAGCTGGTTGCTACTTGGGGATGGATAGGCACTGGCGGGCGATGGGGGGGTGGACGGTATTTGCCGGTCGGCGGGTTGGTAAGTGAGCGGTGGTGGAATTTGCCGTGTTTATGAGACTGGTGTGCCAGGTGGGATAACAAGGTATGTATATCGTAGAAGTGATAGTACCGGTCGTGTAGTATGTAGTAATCGAAAAGAAGAAACAATAATCGATCTCTTACGATTTTCCACTGCGTTTCCCCTGCAAATAGGGTAAAAGAAGCACTCTTGCAAGTATACTAGAAACAGGGTAGTTGATTTGCAACCGAGACGCAAGAGAATTAGACGAACGGCAATTGACGAATTGTTCCACCTCGCAAAGCAACGCCACGTTCTCGAGCGATGGCTTTTTTTTTTTTTTTTTTTGTCCCTTCCCTCTTCTCTCTGACCCCTTCCCTCTCTGGTTTTGGTCAGCGGCCCCCCTGGACCCTTTTTTGGGTAATGTTGGGGAAACAGACAGTGATCAAAAAAATGCACCTGACACAGAGAGACCCTGGCTGGAGCTCCAGATCCACGTAACGGCCCTTAGCCAGAGGGAAGCGCAACGCCCGCGATACGATGTGGTTCCACCGCCCGCGGTGGACAGGGGGAGCAGAGCCCCCCAAGCAAAGGCGCGGCGCTGAAATCGAGCCGAAGCAGCAAAACTTGCAAGACGGTTGCTGGAATTGGACCGATCCAATGCAGCAGGAGTCAGACGCAAGACGCGCCCCCTGGACGGCGCAAATCAGCTTGTCCTCAAAATAGCTGGTGATCGATCGAAGGAGACGAGTCAGGTCAGGTCAGGACTGTGCCATAGGCGAGCCTTCGATGATCAGAACTTGTTCCAGCTTACTCATCGAGCCACCTAAAAAGAAGATCTTGGCAGGCTGTTTGCTGGCCTGGGTAAAGATCAGAGGTCACCATCTCCAAGAAAAGACCCGGGTGCTGTACGCGCACCAGCGATGAGGAAGATGCCGACAGTAAATACTTGATAGTCGTTCACTTTATTTGGATTACCTTTGCCTGTCAGGCGGCGGCTTGCCTACCTTAGTTAATGATGCAGCAGAAGTCTGCCGCGATCCAGTCTAGAAGGAAACGATTGCCTTAAGGTTTAGGTAGGCGGGCAAGCTTTAAAGTGTCTGTCTGCCGCGCAGCTGCCATGTATGTCGATTGCCGAGCACTAAGGTAAGGTGGGAGGATCATCGCCTTGGGCACAGAGAAACATGCAGATATCCACAGATCAAGAGTTACCTTTGTCTAATTCCTTGGCACCATGTTTATTTCTGCTACTTTTTGATGGTTATCTAGACTACTGTCTAGGTCAGAAAGGTTCAAAAGGAATTGCTTCAGTCAGATAGATTTTGATGCGGGCTCCAAATCCACTTAAGTGAAAGCCGGTGTTTTGCACTCCGTGGCAATCATATAATAGCCAAACTGTACTCTGTAGAGCCGTCTTGGAGTCTCTTGCGATATTGGCAGTGTCTTTTGAGTAACCCTCTCAGGCAAAGCCGTCAATTATCAAGCCAGGCTATTACTGGTTTGCATTGTGGTGTTTATATATGCAACAAACTTGAGGACAAAGAGCCACGGACTGTCAGCAAAGGCTGGAGCTGTAGAAAGCAGACAAGTCCCACGGGTATCTATATCCTTACCTCCAACCGTTGTGACACGATTATGGTGCCAAATGACTACACCGGAAACACTTGATCGCCCATACTTGCGAATCTTGGCAGCCAAATGGAAAGAAAAATGAAATCCAGGCTCTTTGCGCTTACGGTAGTAGCCCCGCATAGTATGACCCGCATGGTTCTTATTCATGTACATTAAAATACGGGCCGATGTGATGGTCCCGCCGGTTCATAAATTTCCATAGTCAATTGATCATCGGCGCAGCTCCGTTTTTAAGCCTCACATGGTGTGTGTACATTACTTGATGTATGTAAGCAATTATTTACTACACAACTTCCACCTTGTTTGAGTGCACATGGCATAATCTTTCAATAACGGCATGAAGTGCGTTGTTTGTAGGTTGAAGTCACTGCACAATGCAACAGAGTTTGCATAACTGGATTTTAAGCAAAATGTTATCACGAGTTCGAGACTCTCGTAGAACAAACTATGAAGACGCCTGGAGAAACGTTGGCATTGTAGCAGAAACGGTAAATTATTCATGTTGGCAGAGCGTGATGCAAGAATGTGCGCCCGCCTCGGTCGGGTCCGGGCCGTCTTCAGAAAAGGAGACAGGAGATCGATGATCGCCAGATTTCCAGCCCGCCAGCCTGCCCCGGAATCTACGGCTTCGTGGCAGCAGTCTTGGTGTCAGGGGGCTTGCCTTAGACGACGCCTCGCTGGAGTCAGTATTGGTTCGTGGCTACCCCTTGGAGTTGTTTGCAATGTGCATTATCATAAGTAGTACTACCTTTATCTGTAAGTTGATGAGGTGAGCCATAGTGGCGCCCCGCATGATCAAATGATGTATACCTGTACCTGTATTCATCAACAGATCAGATGGTGGTCAAGCAACCATGTCACGCTTGAGTCTATTCCAACCTTTTGCAGTATGCAATCAGGCAATGCGGACGAGATTCTTTGCCGCCTTAACAAGCCGCTTTTGTGCAGCTTTGACGGAAATTCTAATCACATTCAAGGTCTCTCGTCTCACAAAGCTGACTTCTCACTCGACTCCTCTTCGGGCACGCCGTATGTGGGTGTCATACTATCCATCTTCCACTTATACTCGCAGAAATTTCAGATCCTTGGCCGCACGATACTTTCACAAGACGAAGCTTGAGAGGATCAGAGGCACGAAGGCGCACATTGGACCAGTCTCAATGTGATCTGATGGCAGCATATAATATTGGACCTCTCTTGTTACTTTACTGCTAAAATTGTCATTTCCACCTAATCTACGCATTCCAGTCCGACCTAGATGTCAAATTTCTGACCAACAAGCTCTTCGCTCAAACGCCATAGTCGTTGGGCGTTTTGGGCGTCTGTGGCATAGTCCAGCGCCTCCGAGATCTGGCAATCTTTGACATACGCGCCGCTCTTTCCGTCAAAAGCAGGGTCCAGAACGGCAGCAAGCTCAGTCGCGGCTCCTCCTGATGCAGTCTTGAATGTAGCTGGGTCGAGCGGGGGGAATGAATCCCACCCATTATTGCGCTTCGCAATTGCTGGGATATCACCAAGCGACTCGATGTCCAGATGAGTCGCTAGGCCGGTGGTCAAGATGCCTCCGGGGTGTACGGCAAAGGCCTTGATGCCCTTGTCGGCCAGCCGGCGGGCCAGCTCTACCGAGAAGAGAATGTTGGCCGTCTTGCTCTGGCCATATGCAGTCCAGGGCTCGTACTCTTTGCCGTTGGAGAAGTTGTAGTCGTCAAAGCGGAACGGACCAACGCGGTGGCCCCGGCTGGTGACATTGACGATGCGAGATCCGGCGCCGGCAGCAAGAACCTTTGGGAAGATGATGCTCGTTAGGAGAAAGTGGCCAAGATGGTTCGAGGAGAGCTGTAGCTCGTACCCCTGCTTGTCCTTTGTGTACTCTTTTACCGCCATAACGCCCGCATTGTTGAGGATCACATCAATCTTGGTAATGTCCTTGTTTTCGAGAATCTCGGCGCCGGCCTTCCTGACCGAGTCAAAGTCTGACAGCTCGCACTGCACAAAGGTGGCCTTGACGTTGGGATTGGCTGCCGCGATCTCCTCGATCACGGGGTCGACCTTTGCCTTGGAGCGTCCCACGAGGATGATGTGCTCAGGTCCAGCTCGGGCAAGAGCGATTGCTGCTGTAGCTCCAAGACCATTGGCACTTGTGCCAGTGATGAGAAAGGTACGGCCTTGAATTCTGGAGGAGAATGCCTCAACGACCTCTTCGCTGGTTGTTTTGTTGCCGAATGAAGACATATTGAGCTTGTTGTTTTGAATATCGTGACTCAAGTGTCAAGTGTTCGTAGTTGTTCTAGTGAAGTGGAGAGTCGGGGATGATGCTTCTTTTGATAAGTAGTGTTGATGCTTTGTCTTGTTTGTGCCTTCTCTCGTGGGCTCCAATTCGACAGATTCCCTCGCCTTTATATATTCAGAGGATGCCATCTTTGCATAACGGATTTCGGGTATAGCAAGATAACTCCTCTTCTTGCCAGGTACAGCCCGGCCGTGATGTTTGAGCATTTGGAAATAATACAGACCTTGAGTGAATACTCTCCAGTCTAGGTTAGCCGGAGATGCATGTGAGCCAGATGCATAAGTCGTTTGTCGAATCACCGTTGACTAAAGAATGTTGGCCTACACCTTCGCCGATGGTAACGCCGACGCTGATGATTGGACAATAAGACTGGAGTACAGACAATCGTCTTGGCAGAGAATGGACGGCGGAAATAAGCCAAATTCCGCCGTTACTTTGCCGGAATTTGTGAACAACATTGTTTTAACTAAGTAAACATTCTGTACTGCGGCCGCTATTGATCTCTTCATCTTTGTTCATGCCGATGCTATTTGGGATGGTTGCGCAGTTAAGCCAGTCAGGCCACACAGTAGAGGCAACCTGGAAAGCGCCAAGTCGGAGAAATGACAAGGGATCTCCTCAGATACAGACATGAACCCGATCCCTCGTGGAAGGCGCTCGCACAGCTCATCAAAGGTCAGACTGGTGCAGAATAGATAGATAGGCTTTAGCATGGCCTATGATCAGACGTTTTCAACTCACGGCACAGCTACCTATCTGGTGTACGGAGTATGTTTGGGCAGAAGAGTATTACCTTGCAACTTCAAGTTATGGTTTCATTACCAGCGTGATTGCCCAACCTGATGGCCTTGAATCGGATATTATTTGTAGTGTCCGCTGCCGATGCGGAACTTTGGAATCAAGACCGGATCGCATTCAAAGAATTCAGGTGCCTGGTGCGAAGGTTCATTAAATCAGCCAAGCCAGACGATAAGTGCATCGCCCACAAGATATTCTGGTGCTGTCTGGCTGTACTACTTGTCCCTGGAGTTTGACGAACAGGTAAATGGCCAAGGGCCTTTGAGCTAGCCAATCGTGGCCACGACCCCGCCATGATTGGCTCACTAGAGGAGTGCCGCTATCTGGAGTCAAGCCACCATGGCCTTCGTCATAGGCCATATGAAATCTGGGTATTTCAAGGCATCAGTGTTTTCTGCTTGCTTGATGCATTGGAGACTGTGGCGAAGCTTGGGTCAAACGAGAGATAGGCGTAGAGGGAGCCAATCAGTCGTTGATTTGCAAGGGTAAAGGGTTCTCTTGTCAATGTCGATTCACAGAGTATGTACACAATACTGTTGTAGTAATCATTCAGCTGGGTCTCCGTGTCGCAATCGCCCTTTTCCACTTTGCGTTAGACACGGATCCTCCCACCTCCAACAAAGAGCCGGAGCTGGGCCATTCTGGACCCCACGTCATTCTAGCATCGCCCACCATAAGATCCCTTGAGTATTCACAGCAAGCAGGGAAGCAAGCTTAAGCGCCCCTCCATTGCCTACCCCATCACGAAACACTGCAAAACAAAACAGCTCTATACTGGATCGGTATTCTGTCTCCAGAAAGACCAGAATCCTTCCTAAATATAGCTCCTTCTGCATTTTCCCACATCACCATATCGCAGTTCCACCCATGTCAATTTGTGCTACCAACAAGCACTTCATGTGAGATCCTGCGCAATACCTCTACTCTCGATACTCCGACGAGAGAGAGAAATACAGTAGTCGCCCACGTCCCGCAACACTCTGCTATACACGGATCATCGCCTCCAGTGCAGAACAGTCCTGGAGCTTCTCACTCCCAGTAAAGCGCACTCGCCGCCATGTCGGTCCTAGAGTCAAAGAGGGCCCAGGCGAGCAGTGGAAGCGCCCACGAAACCGAACAGCTACCGGACTACGATGATACCCTCTCGATTGCCGTATCCGATGGCTTCCAAGCAGGAACGGCACTTCCAGACCTGCCAGAGCTAGGAGCTGAAGAGGAAGTCCCGCCAGCCTACAGCGAGGTCCACGATCGTCTTTCTCTACATCAAGCTGGATTCGACGCCGGCGCTACCATCACGGGTGAGTTGCAAGGGATCTTTCTCCTGGGTGTCCCTGCCCAGCTAGTCATAGCAACTGCTAATTTTCGTGGTGCCACAAAGACGATGGCCGAGTCAACATCAACATCAATCAAACGAGCAGGCAACTGGCCGATATCATCGCACCAACTCTACGAAACCAGCTCACTCAAGATGCCAAGCTTGCCGTAGAGCCTCTTCCTCCCGCATATATCCCCCCCAGCCTGGGTGGTCAACCAGGCCAAACGCCACCTCCCAAGTTGAACGTCGTGATACAGATTGTAGGATCGCGTGGAGATGTGCAACCCTTTGTCTCGCTGGGCCAAGTGCTCAAAAATACCTATGGCCATCGGGTTCGAGTTGCGACGCACCCCACGTTTAAGAATTTCGTCGAGGAAAATGGATTGGAATTCTTCAGTATCGGGGGTGATCCAGCTGAGCTCATGGCTTTCATGGTGAAGAATCCGGGACTTATGCCAGGCTTTGATGCGGTCAAGAATGGCGAAGTCACTAAACGCCGCAAGGGGATTGAACAGATCGTCTGGGGCTGCTGGAGATCATGCATTGAGGCTGGCGATGGCTTGGGCCCTGCACCACGACTTGAACGCAGACAGAATGCCTCCAACGACACAGAGACCATGTTCATGGATCCGGTGCATAAGCCTTTTGTTGCAGACGCCATTATTGCGAACCCGCCCAGCTTTGCCCACATTCATGTTGCCGAGAAGTTGGGGATCCCGCTTCATCTCATGTTCACCATGCCATGGTCGCCAACGAGAGCCTTCCCACAACCTCTGGCCAATATTCAATCGTCAAACACTGATCCCGTGACGACAAACTATGTCTCATATGCTCTGGTGGAGATGATGACATGGCAGGGTTTGGGCGATGTCATCAATCGCTTCCGCACCAAGATACTCGATTTGGACCCCCTCTCTCTCATTTGGGCCCCCGGAGTGCTCACTCGTCTTCGGATCCCCTACACTTATTGTTGGTCTCCGGCCTTGATTCCCAAGCCAAACGATTGGGGCAATCATATTGACATTGCTGGATTCTACTTTCTCAATTTGGCATCCAATTACTCACCTGAGCCTGAGCTTGCTGCCTTCCTAGAGGCTGGACCGCCTCCGGTGTACATTGGCTTTGGCTCGATCGTGGTTGACGACCCTGATGGTCTGACTAAGAAAATATTTGACGCAGTCGCATCCACTGGCGTTCGAGCCCTCGTATCCAAAGGATGGGGCGGGCTTGGAGCGGATTCCATGGGCATTCCTGATGGAGTTTTCATGCTCGGCAATTGTCCTCACGACTGGCTCTTCCAACATGTGTCGGCGGTATGTCATCATGGAGGTGCTGGTACCACGGCAGCTGGAATCAATGCCGGAAAACCGACGATTGTCGTGCCCTTCTTTGGCGACCAACCGTTCTGGGGTGCCATGGTGGCCAAGGCGGGTGCCGGACCGGAGCCTATCCCCTACAAGAATCTCAGCGCTGAAAATCTCGCCGAGGCAATTAAGACTGCGCTGAAACCAGAAACACTGGAAAGAGCAAGAGAACTAGGTGAAAAGATCAGAGAGGAAAAGGGATCAGACGTGGGAGGTCAGAGCTTCCACCAACATCTGAATGTTGACGAAATTCGCTGTGCTGTTGCTCCCAGCCGCGTAGCTGTATGGCGTGTGCGAAGATCAAAGGTTCGGTTAAGTGCTCTTGCTGCTGCCGCACTCGTTGAAAGTGGTTTCATTCAGTACTCTGACCTAAAGCTGTAAGCATGAAAAGACTTCAATTGCTTGAATTGTACCTTCTAATCATATACTAGATTTCGATCAAGGGAGTACAATACGGAAGAAGAGCCCTGGGATCCTGTCTCGGCCGTCACATCTGCTCTTCTCGGAGATATTGGCAGCATTGGAATGGCTGTAGCCGATTTCCCGCGGGACGTATTCAAAGCAGCCGTGGGACCGAAAAAGAGCCAAGGAACATCTGACATTGCTGGCAAATCTTCTAGTGCTGCGGCATCCCAAACTGATTTGCCGTCCGAGAAGGATTCGAGCGATGCGGCAGCCGTTACTCCTGGTACGCCTGGTACTCCTGGGACACCTGACCCGCATATCGACCGAAAGTTAGTGGCTTCACCTGGACCTGCGAATGAGAGCACGACCAGTTTGGTGCCGTCTATCTCGGCTGCTTCTGCAGTTTCTGCAAAGTCCAACGCTGCGGCGGAGCGTCCAGCGAATCCAAAGCGAGAGCCATCTGAGACCCCAAGCATGAATGACAACTTGGAGAGGGCACTTGGTGCCGGGAAGAGTATTTCAAATATTGTCACTACCGGCGTAAAATCCCCAATGAACTTTTGCATGGGCCTTGCAAGAGGATTCAGAAATGCGCCAAAGTTGTACAATGATGAGACAGTCCGCAGACCCGAGAAGGTCACTAGTTTTGAGACCGGCTTGAAGGTTGCAGGGAAAGAGTTTGGACTTGGTCTGTACGATGGAATCTCGGGTCTGGTCACACAACCTATTCGTGGAGCACAGAAGGAGGGCGGCATGGGTTTCCTGAAAGGATTTGGCAAAGGCATTGGAGGGCTTATACTGAAGCCAGCAGCCGGTAAGTTTACTGCTGAACAGAGTTTAATGGCCGATACTGACAAAGCTGGCAGGAGCCTGGTCTGTTCCAGCCTATGCAATGGCTGGTATCCACGCAGAAATCCGGAGTCTATTCGCCCAGAGCGCTGAGAACTATATTGTCGCATCGCGTATCGCCCAAGGTAAAGAAGACTACGAAAACTCAACATATGCGGAAAGAGACGATATTGAGAAGCGCTGGCTCGCGACTCGTGACTCGCTGAAATCTTATTATACGTGGAGGCAGAAAGAGAAGGGCAAGGGGCGAGATTCATCTCCTCGACGCCCGTTCCCGACTGCTGCTGAAGGAGCTTCTTCTGCGAATAGTTTGGCTATTCCTACTGAAGCTCCGAAAACTGGATGGCGCCACACAAGAAACCTGTCTTTTGACGAACGGAAACGCCTTCAAGACCAGAAAAAGGCTTGGGTGCGCAGACAAGCCGCTGCCGCTGTCGGCTTAGCTTCAGGGGCTCATGTTACCGAGGATGTCACCGCTGCTCGGCTCGCAAGCAGGGAAGATGCACAAGACCCCGAGTTCGAACAGGCGATCCAAACTGCGGTTCGTGAAACGTCTAGTGGAGATGCAGTTGAAGATGCGAGAATCGAGCAGGCCATTCGATCCAGTGTTCGAGAACTCCGTCGAAGATCTACGGTGTCACTGAAATCAACGGTTTCGAACCAGTCAACTGAACCACGAAGTCAATCTTCAGATGTCGGATCTGAAAGGAATTCATCAAACACATCGCACTATGGATTTCCCTCAGAATTGAAGGGACAAGTGCCGTTCTCACCTGATGATTTTGATGATATCACAGATGAGGAGTACCAGGCATTGATTGAGCAGGCTGTGCAGCTCAGCATTGCAGAGGACCACAGGAAGTCGCAGCAAGTACAAGGTGTTCTTGGACGGGGCGCTGATGACGACGACGACGACTTCCGACAAGCGCTTCAGCGTTCTCAGACAGATAATGTCGCAACTACTACTCACGACGATGGGGAACTCCGCAAAGCTATCGAGGCATCGGAAGCAGAGCATGCTGCTCGTCTCAAGCAAGGGCATAATGGCCACGACGACGATGACGAAGAGCTCAAGAAGGCGATAGAAGCGTCGCAGGCAACCGAGACACAAGCAGCTCCTGGTGCCGAAGACGAGGAAGAGTTCAGACGAGCACTGGAGGCATCAGAAAAGGAGCATCAAGAAGAGCTCGCACGAGCCAAAGCCAGCAAGACTGAGGAAGATATAGTCATGGAATATGTCAAGAAACAAAGTCTGGCAGAAGCTCAATTCCAACCAAAGGGGAAGGGCAAAGATTCCTCGAATCATGATGACGATGATGAGGAACTCAAGAGGGCAATTGAGGAGAGCATGAGAGCCACGGGTAAGGCCGGTGAGAGTTCGGGATCCGGCTCGGGTACAACCTCAACACCAAGAACATGAGTTGGCGACATGATTTACGATATACCCTGAAAGAACCATCAAATACAATTTGAACACGTGAACAGCAGTACCAAGTATGATCCCATAGCACCAATACACAAAGTAACAGTACAACACTACATTGACTTTACGGAGCTATTGGTCCTTTCCTTGGATCAAGAGCCTCAGAAACAGTCCGAGCTCGAATCAATGACCTAAGTGAAGCTCTTAGCGCTCTCGTTGACCTGTTGATCGTCTATGATCTAGGCTTGACTAGAGCCGTGCACTGAAAGGAAAAAGCAAACACAATCCAGCCTCCTAAAGTATCGCAGACAAACTTGCATAAATGACTGCAGGAACAAAATCGACGGATTATCTGGCAAATCGCCCGATTCGGCCGTCATGATGAGACTATACGGTTACCGGATCGCTGACGGGATCATACAGTTGCAGTAGTCGCTTATTTAACGTTTTCTGACTTGGCTAGCCTTAAGCGCCGGACCGTTCTCCTTTGACATACCCGCTCGTCCTGGGGAAAAAGCACGCCAGCTTTTTGGTAATGATTCAAGAAGACGTCATGGAACGGCGGTCGAGGCGTCATGCAATTATTGAAAACCTCTTTACGCGTGCAAGAGAACGCGACTTGATCCAACAAAGCAATGACGGTGCAACGTTTCGATTGGCTGGAAAGGAGTGACGAAATGTGTTCATGAATGGAATGAGAATCAAAGAATGAATGGCTGGACTCGAGGCGTATCATACTATAATGCGGCAGACAGATAAAAACGATATAATCATGACTCGATGATATAAACTGGAAGCATTTCCTGTCACTCGCATTACTTTTGTCTTCTCAATGCAAATTACCATCTGTACACAAACAACCAAAAACCTCTTCGCAAGTTGATCCAAATTTCTGTTTCTCCAAAATATACCTCATTATGTCTTCCTACGAAAACGAAGTCCCCAGCGACAACTCCTACGTCTCTCGTCCGGGCCACAAGAACGAGGCCCTTGGCGTCGTCTCCGATGAGACCAAGATTGAGGACCCAGTTGACTCCAGAACCGCCGATAGCGACGAACAGCTAGGTATGTGGTTACTGCTTCCCTCCCACAATGGTCACATCAAAATCTCCTTAAACAATAATACATGTAAACATGTTCAATGACAACGATACTAATCCTATTTGTTAGAACGAGACGACAAGGAAGCGATCAATAAAGATAATATCATCAACGAGCGTACGCGCCACGCGAAGCCAGAGGGTAGCTATCAAGAGCCTGGTGACGAGGAGGGTCTTCCCACCGACTCGGGACGCAGCCAGGGCGCCTACTAAATTATCACAACGCATCGTGGCCGAGGCTAGACGTGTTGCCATTGTATAATAGCGAGTGATTCGATGAATGAATAATTAACTTTACACACTATCAATTACCAATTCATCGTGATACACTTTCATCTCTGTACTGTTCCTTCACTGAGCTACTATCCTCCACATTAGAAGAGTGTATATATTGATCGGAAGTAGAAAACTACACGCTTGTAACGCATCACGCTTGCCAAGTCTACAACACAAGTACATTGATCTTTTCACTTTGAATAGTATTTCATGCGTTGATAGCGTGCAGTCATGACTCTTTGCGGTAGGTATACTAATGTTTACAATGAGTAACAAGATGAACATCTAAATACACAAGCTACATTGCCGGGGAGGTCATTACAGCCTCGTATATTGGTCAAGAACCAGAGGGCCTCGTTATACATGCTACATTGAATCACAGGGTGCATGGACGTCACGCAAGACTCGCTTCTGACGTTCCAAGCAAGTTATTTTTACTTGTCTTCGAGTCATTAAAGTAACCTCGTCGTCGTCTCAGATGACTCAATTTCAGAAAGAGCAGTCTTTCGATTTCAAACGCTGCCGAAAAAAGGCGGTATGGACTACTGGATTGGCTCTGTCTCGTGTACTTTATTTCTTTTGCGAGCCCATGGAAAACTGCTTTAGCCTCATGGTACGAAATCTATAAGACACTATGAGGACTTCAAGAACTAAAGTCATCAAGTCTATCGTCAATTATCGATAAACATACGCGGTTTATAGTGTACCGACATGTCGATAGACTGACAGAGAGTATTTGGACTTTGGTCAGGAAGCGTCATGGATGATGGCAGTAATAGAATGTGTTGGCCACGCAGTCTCAGTGCATGATATGCCACGCAAGTATAGTCAACGAAAAGAACCAAGGTTATCTGCAGCGATATATGGAAATCACTGAATCCAATCCCGATGTTGCTGCGTCTCACGAGCTGCACGAAGCCGAGTAAACCATGTTGTACGACACGTCACGTCCTCTTTCTTTCGCCTTCCCGATCCTGCAGCCGAATCGTCCAACGTTGCCCTTGCAAAAGGTCCATTGGAGGGCCTCCCCGGGGAGAACGTCATGTCCGACCGACAGGCCTCGCAACTTCCCACAGGACGACCTCGAGATCCGGGTAACCGGGCCCTCTCTTCGCGGGCCGCTTTCCTGCAACTAGAATACTCGATTAGATTAAACTCACCGCTAGATCCGTGTTGTGTCACGGTTTCCCACGCATGCCTTGGACGGAGGACATGGACGAAAGGGGCAGCATTGTTGCGCTTGGCGGGAAGATTACAAAAGAACAGACTCCCAGAGTTGCCCCAATGAGTTGTCAGGATCTTCTCATCTCCTTATATCGCCTCGCAATGTTGTCCCTCCAATCGCTTGCCGCATTGGTATGCAATGTCATCGTCCACCTGCTGTTTCTGAATGGAGTTGCTCCTTTGCTGCTTCGGAGCACAGTGGTGGCCGCCTTGTCCGTCTCGCATACTCAGTCCTCTCGCCTGCTTGAAGCACGCGCAAACGAGTCCTGCCGGGACCCTTTGGTGCGCACAGAATGGTACATCAACTTTTCCAACCAAGTCATGTTTCTGATATTTACCAAATTCATTGATAGGCGCAGAATGTCGGCAAATCAACAAGACTCCTATATTGCCGCATTAAAGTGCATGCTAGAAAAACCAGCAGAGGAGTACCCCGTCGTCCCAGCTGCAAGTAACCGCTATGAAGATTTCGTGGCAGCACACATATTCAGTGTCTGGAATGCGCACTATGTGGTAAGAGCATCAACTGGGTCAAGTCATCGCTGTTATGAAGGCACAGGATCTGACAACAACCCTATCAGGGAGCCTTTTATCCTTGGCATAGATGGTTCTTGTTTCACTTTGAGAAAGAGCTTCAGTCGTGCGGGTTCCAGGGAGGGCTACCGTACTGGGACTGGACACTCGACACGACCAGCGAGCAGAAATTCCTGGGCTCTCCCATTTTTGATACCGTCCGAGGCTTTGGCGGCAATGGAGAGTACGTGCCGACGAACCAGCTGACGCCAGCGCCGACGATGCTCCTCGCTTCTCGGCCAAAATTATTGGCGGCCAATCGAACGGGCGGCGGCTGCCTCGTCGATGGCCCCTTTTCCGGCTTGTCGTCGGAGCTGGGCCCGCGGGATAACCTCAAGAAGATGGGACGACATTGTGTCACCCGCGATCTAGGATACGCGTACATGTGGAACACGACCGACCTGAACCTCGTGAACACCGCGATGAAGTTCCCAAACTTCGGCCTCTATGGGAACAAGACCGAGTTCTCGTACCACGCGGGCGGCCATTGGGCTATTGGCGGTGAATATGCGACAATGAGCGACATGTGGGCTTCTCGTAAGTTTATATGGGCGCAACATTTGAGAAAGCAAAGGGTATGAGGCAGACACTGATTGCATCCAGCGTTGGATCCCATCTTTTTTCTTCACCACTCCAATCTCGACCGTGCTTGGTGGTCCTGGGAGACTCGGGACCTTGATGTTCGCGTAGACGACATTTCTGGTCCTCTATTTACCCAAGATTATCACAATAAGGAAGGAGGCAACTATACCATCGATTCGATCATCCGGCTCGGCGTCACCAGTCCAGTGGAAGTTAGGATTGGGGACATTATGCACATACAGCAAGGACCGTTGTGCTACACATATGATCAACTCTATTAGGAAAAGCTGTCTCGGCAGAAGTACCATATTGAAGATTGGCAGGTAAAAATGTTTTGGGGGATCCGGGGTAGGATCTTTTCTTGTTTTACACGCTTTTCTGTTCTTGGAAGCCGGTTCGTTAAACGTTCAGCCCTACTATTTTCGATAGTCAACATATAGCCAAATAGCCGTCTTGTTCAATTAATAAAAAAGGACGACGATTCTTTCCTGTTCTCCGTTTTCGCTTGCGATGCTGAGGTATCATTACTACCACATGACCTGGTCTGAGCTGATTGTGAAGGGCGATCGGCAATGCCTGATGTGGGCGAGAAACCGGGGGACGAGACTGTAGATCTTTTCTCGCATGGCTTTTTTCTCTCTCTCTCACTGACCACACTGGGGCCACAGCAGGGTCGCCATGACTTTCTTTTTCGTCTTTATCCAGCTATTGAGGCAACATGTGCTCTGTGAGGCTTAAAAAACAAGACTTGGCTTGAATCCAAAGTACGTTCTATAGGGCTGACAAGCAATAATTCAGGCATGGTCATCAGTCTGTGCGATCAACATAGAGTCAAAGCCCACCAAAGCCCACGGCCGCGATCAACTACCACTTGATGGGTTTGCTTTGCACACGGCGGATCGTGCAGTATCCGGACTCCGTACACAAACTAGTATCAACTTGGGGGCACTAACATGTTGACTGTTGAAATGCGTTGGGCACGTCGGTACCGGTTATTCGCAAGTGCCGCAATAGCTGATCACGATAGTGTGCGAAGATCATTTCCAGTGAGGCTAGAGACTATCGAATCAGCTAGGTCAAGCCCCATTATCCGCACGCCGCACGTTATGTACTGATGGGGGGGTTTAGAGTGACTTTTGCCCGGATGCAAGCAAAGCCTGGCAGGTCGAGAACAGAGAGAGAAGAAAAGAGACGACGGTCCGGTCAAAAAGGTGCCAAGAAAACCAGACGGCGCGGCGATAAAATTCTAGTGTACAATATAGACATTCCTTACTCGTGAAGAGGACCGCTTAGACTATGACATGAATCTTGCCTGGATAAAAGATCAGATGCAAGTGCGTTTTTCTACCTTTCTAGCTTTCTAGTGTACGGAATAGTGCTAGGCCCCAGTAAATCCTTCGGCAGGGCGTCTCCGTGGCTAAATCTGCCCCAAAACCACCATCGGCAGAGGCGCTGGCGAACTCCGATATGGTGAATGATTTATTAGCAGGTATTGTAGTGCTATTTTTTTTATTTTATTTTTTAATTGGCCATATTCTTGATATTCTCTCCTTTGACCAACCGTATCTCAATGACGTAGTATTACCCAGCAAAAGGACACATGGTAGTGAAGCTTATAGCACAGGGCCTCTGTTGGCTTTGATGCTCCTTTGCAAGTGGATTTGATTGACTGCGCACGTAGCAATCGCTTGCGACACTTTGACTTTCTCAGGTGAATGGACCTCATTGTGTCCTGCTTGGGATCTCTTCAATTCGGCTGCTTTTGCTTTTCAAATTCAGATCTTTTGCCCCCAACGGCACGACGACGCCGCCGCCATGACGACTCAAACGTACAGTAGGATTTCGTACTTCTGGCAAAGCCTGCAAGGTAGCATTGGCGCCGGCAATTGGGGAAGGGGTGGCGTTTGGCAGCAGCTAGGGTTACTATTGCCTGGCTCATGGGCGTTTTTGTTCAGTACAAAGTGGATATAAATCAACCGAAATAGAGAAACATAGGCACTAACAGCCACTGGTCAGGGGCAGCGACGACAATGACAGGCTTTGCAATGACCACATACTATCACCGTTTTTTTTTTCTTCTGGTTTGTCTCTTTCGGAAACTTTCTAGAGCCCGAAGAGAAGACACGAAACGGGTTTTTCCCCCTTCTGTACCATGCTATGTAGTTAGGTCAAGTCGACTATATTAGTATCATCGACGGTGCCGTATGAGAAAGCTCACTATGACAGAACAGAGCATAAAGCGACCCAAGCTAAGCTCGACTGGCCCAAGTGCATCGTGGAGCCTTTTGGTGGTGATCCAAGTTGAGATCAAATGGGCATGTCGCGATCGGACCTGTGATCGATTGGCGGCGGAGGAGGCGCCTGCAGGGCATTGGAACTGCCACCCACGGCTGCTAGCCACGATGAGCATGGTCTGCCGGGGGTCGTCTGAACCAGCATCGCCATGAACAACGGGAATAAGTAGTCGGCCTCTTGTGGCTTATATATTCATGGCTGCCATGAATTGAGAGCAGCCGCAATGCAGAGTAATCATAATCAAACAAGCTTGAGCTGTTGAGGACGTATGCAGTGTTACTCATCAGTCATTCTGTGCCCACAACTCATGGCAGTCTGGATTGCTGACATAAGAGGATATTACCGCAGCGGGCCTTTTCATTGACAGATGACAAAAACATGCCGACTAGGAACTAGGGTTGATGAATTCTTGACCGTCCAGGAACGGGATCCATCAGCCATCCACTTCTTGTCCACTGTTGCAGGCGGCCAGGCAACTCAGGAGTTAAGGCCGGCGCAACCTCGATCGGCCTCTGTTGCTACGCTCATCGCCACCTTGTGTATGGCTCGCTTGTGGGCAGACTTCCCGGTTGGGTCTAGCAATCTATTATAGTTGTAGCTTGAGCCAGAAATATCTTCATTTACCTGCAATAATCCGTATGCAGGTGTTCTGCCAAATAGATAACTAAACTTGACTATTCACGGCTCGTTCGGGCCCCCCAAGCGGAACCGAGCGGTGATTGATCCGTATACTGAAACTCACCACGATCGGTCGAGGAGTCTCCTTCGCTTCTGTCTTGATGCAAGAGGGAAAAAAGGATACGGCTGTTGTCTTCATATTACCATCAGAACCCGTTATGCCAAATGAGATTTTTCCATGAGAACCACATATCCCCCCGCAAGGACCCTGGTTATGCCTCGTAAAGACGGCGATTGAGTGACAGGCAAGTGGCTCTTTTGCCCTTGCATGAATGATCTGACCCTTGATATGACCTGAACCGCACCGTAGGTACGGAACAGACAAGTGGTCCCTTGCTTTGCTATTTCGCTCTCGTACGCGCGATGCGCAACAAAAGATGGAATTGACGCAGGTGTCAGTTGCACTCTCTCACTCTTCCTCCCTCCAGGGCCATTAATTAAGCTCTGCTCTCCATCGGAGACATACCACTCACCACCCTAGGACCACCCCGGCCCTCGGCTGCACTCCTATTACCTTGCAGCAAACTGAACAATGCAATCGCCAATTCAGTTGCGCCGGCAATACCGTGGGTTCTGCCAATCCCCAGATTCGAGGTCGGCAACAGTCATTAACAGTCTTCTGCTTTTGGGCAACGGGACAAGGGGTCGGTTCCCTCGGGATAATATACGTTCCACTCAACCTTGACCTTTACTTATTAGTGTCTACGTATTTTACTGCCTCTGCGGCTGAACATGCATGTGAAGATTTTCAATGACATTGAACACCATCTGGCTTGTCACTTCCAGACGTGCCGAGTTGCCAAGACGATACCATCGAGTATATTCCGTAGCAAAAACCTACCTATGTGGCACCGCAAACAAATGCCGAGGCCCGTTGGGCTTTTCTAATAATAATAGGTCATAGTAGCACCATGGCAGTCCGCCGTCCTCCGCCCGCACGCTTCGTCCAGCCAAGTTCTCTCTCTTTTTTTTTTTTTTTTTTTTTTTGGTTTCTCGTCTTTTCTTGGCCGCGCCAATTTCAAACCAAACATAAGCACCAGTGACCGACCGAGCAGTACGTAGTAGCAGGTGCTACTAGAGATTTTCTGCCTACTAGTACGACTATGGCATGTGTTGGACAACGGGAAACAAAAGTCCCCATCCAATTAACCCCGTACGCTTATTCCCAATTAGGCAAATTTGCACGTTGTTCGGAGCCAATAGAGGTCTGATGCGGCCGTGTGTCTTCATGGCGATCTGCATCTTCCTTGCCCCTTCTTGCGCGTCTAAGCTGGGTCGAACTGGACCCGATATTCAGACCCTGTTGACCTGCAGCCCGTGAATAATAGAGAGAGAGAGGGAGAAGAACACACACACAAAGATACTCCATAATAGAGTCTCTAATCCACAAGATCCTCGTCCCCGGTCCGGGCTCAGCGACCAAATTTCTCCGCCCCGCGCTTTGATTGACACGATACGGTAAGAGTAGAGTAAAGAGTTCAGGGCAGCGTAAAATCTTAGTGTGAGATGGTTTGGGCGGGAGGAGAAGAGAAAAAAGAGTGCGTGTAGAGATCCAGTACTCTGATAAACCATGTTTCCCACGTGGTCGATGACTCGTACTGCGAGATCTCTTTCCATCTAAACTAAACTCATCCGTTCTCTATACTAACCAACTAACTACTACTACACTCTTTTCTTCTTTCTAAAACCCCCCCTCCCACGACTATCCTTAATTCCTTTCTTTATGTACTATTCAACTCACCCCTAGTCAATCCTTTCTTTTCCCGCACAAGTACTCCCGTCGTTGGTGGCATAGGGCTCAGTTCCCTTGACAAAAACCGCGCAGGAGTTATACGACCATGTGGGCTTCGATCAGAGTGTTGGTGTTAATGGTGGTGGTGGCGGCTTTTGCAGAGCTGGGTATTGCGGCGGACGCTTCCTCGACGACATCGACTTCGGCATACACGGAGGCCCTTTCACAGTTGCCGACTTGCGCTGTACGTCTTTTTTTCTTGGTGGTGGCCAGCTGGGACATGTCTACGGAATCGGAACGGACATGACTAACATTTCCTTTGCTCACAGTTGAAATGTCTTATTGCGGCGGTCGGCGAATCATCATGTTCAGCAACAGACGTAGCATGCCAATGTACAGACGCAGAGTTCGTCTCAACCGCCGAGTTGTGCGTCATGATGTCATGTACCATTGAGGAATCGCTCGGTAAGTCGAGTCTGGAGAGTTTACAGAGATCTCTCGTCCGAATACTAGGAAGCGGACAAGAGACAATGGGAAGAAGCCTAGGCTAACAAGCATGCCCAGTTGCCAAGAACACCACGCAGACCATGTGCGGTGCGCCTATTCGCGACAAGTCGACAGAGTACACGGTGGTGACCACGGTGCTCATGTCCCTGGCCTGCATCTTTGTGCTCGTGCGCCTGGGGTATCGCCAGTTCTTCACGGCGACCGACCTCGGCCTCGACGACTGGTTCATCCTCCTGACGCTGCTCAACTGCGTGCCCTCGGCCGTCATCAACGTGTCCATGCTGTCCAACTATGGCCTCGGCAAGGATATCTGGACGCTGACCCCCGACGAGATCACCAGTTTTGCCCGCGGCTTCTTCATTATTACTCTGCTGTACTTTTCCGAGGTTTTTGTACTGAAATTGTCCATGTTGTTTTTCTATCTGGTATGGGTCCTCCCTTTCTTGATATAAGTCGTATTTCAATATATACGACAAAAAGGATGGCAAAGAATAAAGCCCGCTAACTCGAACGCCCGCAGCGAATCTTTCCCAGCAGAAGCGTCCGGCGTGTCGTCCTCGGCGCCGTGGCCTTTGACATTCTCTTTGGCGTCGCCTTCATTATCACGGCGCTGCTGCAGTGTCGCCCAATCAGCTACAACTGGACCAACTGGCGTGGAGAGGGCGGCGGCCAGTGTATCGACATCAGTGCCGTGGCCTGGGCCAACGCTGCCGTGAGCATTGCCCTGGATTTGTTCATGTTGGGCATACCCCTTTCGCAGCTGCGTCAACTCAACCTCCACTGGAAGAAGAAGGTTGGCGTCGCCCTGATGTTTTGCGTTGGAACTTTGTAAGTCTTTTTTTCGCCCCTTGTTTCTAAAGCTACCTCGAAGCAGAAACTAACAGGACGGGCAGCGTCACGATTGTCAGCATCATCCGTCTGGCCTCGCTCGTCGAGTTCCGTGAGTCGACAAACCTGACCTGGGACTACTTTGGCGTGGCCTTGTGGTCGACGGTCGAAATCACCGTGGGCATCATCTGCGCGTGCATGCCGGCGATCCGGCTGATCCTGGTGCGCATCGCCCCCAAGGTCTTTGACGTGACCCTGGTGCGGCGGTCCAAGTACTACTACGGCAACCGCAAGTCCAAGAACATTACGGCGTCGCAGGCGGCGCGGTGGAGGGCCAGCACGGCCTGGGACCCCAAGCTGTCCCAGCCCAGCACCGACGCCTCCAAGTCGGCCGCCTCGCGCAACTCGTGGATGCCGCCCAGCGTGCGCCACAGCTGGCGCGTCAGCCGCGGCGACCGCATCATGGCCGACGGCATCCTCTTCTCCCGCGTGGCGCCGCCGCAGGAGCAGCACCTCGACGAGGTTGACGAGGACGACCAGAACCGTCTGGTGGCTTTGGAGGCTATTGGGCCCACCAAGCCGCATTCCGTGGTCCTCATCTCTGGAGGTGTCCGGTCGCCGATTCACAGCTCGCGTGGCCACTCGCCCGACCTAGACGGACCCGCGCATGCGCTGTAAAATACGAAAACGAACAAGGATATTCAAAATTGAGAAAGATTCTCAAGGAAGAGAACGACAAGGTGGAAGAGAACAAGAAAAGAAAGAAAAGACAGACCAACAAAGAAGAAGAGGAAGCAAACCCGACAAGAAAGGCCGGCACGATTATGATCACTTTTGATTCACAGGAATGATACCCCCGGGTGACCACGAAAGAAACACTCACGAGGACACGCACGACAAGGCTTTTTTAATTGAGCAAATAGCAGAATGCTTGCAAATCACCTAGAAACCACATTAGCATATACCATCATTGTCACATTAGAACACTTAGCGAATGACCACAAACACTATAATAATACGTCTTCATCACCACAGTTAGCTGGCTGGCTTTACTTGATTACTTGTGACAATGAACCACCCTAAAGCAATTCTCATTCAGTTGCGAAACCCGAATCCGTTCGACTATACAAAATAATGGCATCTCTTGAGCAGTGGTTAGAAAATTGAGGTCAGGAAAGCCAAGTGTGTACAAGTATTCGTGTAGCATTAGCTCCTCGTTTGTATAAGATAATAATGTGGCCTATATGTTTTCACTGGGTTGAAGATGGAATAAATAATACTCGAGTTTCAACGAGTACTTTCGTATCCCGAGATCTTTGGCGCCCCCCTTTTCACTCAGTCGTTGTAGTTCAAGTCTTGAAATAATATGGGTTCGAGGTGTTCAAGCTCATATCCCTGGGCAACGTCTTTATGCCAACAAGCAAGGTGTTGGAAGAGATAGGCAGACTCATTATGGACAAGACCAATTGAATAATTATCTACTCCTACTACGTGATTAATGGCCGATGTCGAAGAAAAAAGTACGTCTATCAAAGTATGCCTAGGAGCGCGTTGGAGCCCAAGAGCACTTCATTCAGCATCGCAAGACCCAATCCCCCGGATACGTATAGCACAATGGGTCTCGGCCAAATCAACCATGATCTTCGAATCGCTGACTACTTCGTGCTAGAATAGTGATAGTGCCAGCTTGGGATAGTCGCGACCATCCGCCGTCTTTTGACCGCTACCAGGCCAAGTTTTTCTTTTTATAGAATATCCTTTCCAGCACATTCAGCCTCGGGATACGTTACTGAGCCCGAAGCAATAGCACCACATTTCATCGAGTACGTGTACACTGAGATCGAACCGAAGTTGCATGGCGAGCTGAAGTTGTTTCTGCAAATGCTTTTCGTGTTGGTATTGTAAATTTTTTGCAAGAAAAAAAAACAGATCTAGACGCCCGCCGTCATCGAGATCCGGTATGATGATACAAGGGCCTTTTCTTCTTTCCCATCCGCATTACGCCGTCATCGTGCTCAATAATTTGTCCGCTTTCCTATTTCATTCCCGTCTAGCTGGAGAACTTTCGGGTGATCTTGGCAATGACTGGTTCGAGTTATAGATTAGTTCGCTGTCCTCTTTCCAAAGCAGCAAAATTATGGTAGAGAAAAGGTCCTAATTGACCCCTTGGAAGCTCCCCGAATCCAAAGGTAAAGCCAAGAAGGGAAAGGTGTAGGGTAGAGAACGTACTGTGTAAGGCGACAACGCTGAAAATGAAGACGAGAGACAGAACGAGGACGACGACAGGGTCAACCTTGAGGCCGGGCGACTCGTCAGTGTAGAGGCGCAGCATCGTGCTGGTGCTGCCACCGGCGCCGGCGGCCCTCGTGCTGCTGGGGCGGGCATTGGCGATCTTCTCCTTCTGGTCGGCGGCGGCTCGTCGGCGGATGGCGGTCCTGGCACCGCCCGGGGGAGTGGGCGAGGACGGACGGCCAATGCTGGCGCCAGATGCAGGCGCGTTGACGGGAGATGATGCTCTGGGAGAAGACTATAGTTTTGTGGCCTTGTTAGCGATGCTGCCTTCTCTAGGCCTCGGAGAGCCGCGTGTGTCGACATGTGCCCTCCTCATTCTAGTGTTCGTGGCAGGATCGGGTGGGTTCAATCCAATCGCATTGAGGCCAGCGAGGGCCGCAGCTCTGGCCCCGGTGAGTCACGCTGTACGTACCATTGTGGTGTGATTATGAGTGTGTTTTGTTAGAAAAGAGGACAAGAGAAGAGGAAAGCCGTAGAAGAAGACAGATGGGAGAGATGAAACCGCTCGTGTGCTCGATTGACGGACGGGGATGGAACGTGGACGAGGAGCTGGCCTGGGTTCTGGTCTGGAGAAGTGGCTACTACTACTTTCTCTGCTTTACTGTCCTGGCTGCACCTAAATGGGATGGACTAGTACTGGAGGTGTAGTGCACATGTGGCCCCAAGAGCGCTGAAAAGAGACCAGCTCATTCACTAAAACCCTTCCCCCAGCTGCACCCTGAGAAGCTTTGACTTTCTCCAATCAACAGGCGCCAAATGGAGCTCCCTCTCAATTGAGGCCACATTTTGGGAAGGGCGACCCCTGGATTGCCCATCGCCGAAAGGTTTATCCGAGTGCCTCAACCAGGGGTCCAGTCGACCCATCATCTCAATCCAGTACATATCTCCTTGGGGTCTCCGATAAGCGACAATTCAACCATGATTCGGCATCATTTCATATGACCCCCGAGTTCAAGGCTCAACACCAAATCTACGAGGCAAAACCTCACTGCTCTGGGCAACTCCAACATATGCATTCAAGACCAAGTCAACACCATCCTGGAAATTGGAAAATGAACCAAACTGATCATCGACGCGCTGCTGCATTCGCCATCAGCCAGTCAAAAGTCATATTGCCGTTAGGTAATTGAGACGCGCTCGCAGGCCGAATCCATCATTTCCATTGCGCACAACGGCAAATGCACCAAGGTTGGACTCTCGTCACATGTGTAAATATCAACGGCACAAAAATGTCAAAAAATCAACAGATTTATACTCTTTTACTCATTCTCATCAAGTAACATGACATGATTTTCCGCAAATTCATTCTCTGATACAAGCCTCAACGCCTATATTGAACGCAGGACCCAAGACTCCTGTCAGATCCAACCTTAAAAGGGACATGTGTTTGATCATGAGGCCGAGGAAAACAGTGTAGTAGACATCATTATTCACATACGCTGGCTGCCGTTCCTCTCTGAATGGACATCGCGATCAATGTCGAACTCTAAACAATCGCGTCCGGCACTCAGAGAAACTAGTTTTTTTGGAATAGAATCAGATTATAGGCGCATACCCCGAGTAAGGCTGAAGACGGGCAAGATGGCGTCCCGTCTCTTCGGCAAGCCACCCTCCGCCATATGTCTCGCCATAATCTTCTCGTCTACCCCTGGATTTGGGAGGCGTCGCCGCCGCGATCTGGGGAATGCTCTCTCGAGACGCAGCGTGATATTGAATGAGGAAGATATAAATACAAGATGATGCAACTCAGATCAGTGTTTGTTTGATGGATTGTTTTCGTCATCAGTCGTTCATTATATCGAGACATCTAGATAGCATTCGCCATGTTTGGTTCCTACAAGGCTGTGCTGTATGCACTTTGCGCCTCCACGTACGTCACACTCGGACTCGGAACCTTTGATATCAACTCAAAGAATAATGTGGCCGTCTACTATGTGAGATTCTACCTCTTCGCATTAGTGTCTCATGATTTATTAATCCATCATGTAGGGCCAAGGGTACAACCAGAAACCCTTGAACGTCTACTGTCAAGATCCCACCATCGACGTCATCATCTTGTCGTTTGTCTACCTATTCCCGGCACAGGCGAATGGCTTTCCTGGACTTGACCTGGGAAATCAGTGTACAGGAGACACCTACCCAGGTCCGGGCTGGGCTGGCGTCAACGACACATCCAAGAATGCTCTGCACAAGTGTCCCAACATTCAGCGCGACCTGAACTACTGTCGCAAGGTCAGCCCAGACAAGAAGTTTCTGCTGTCGCTGGGAGGAGGCACCGATGGCTATCAGCTCACGGGGGCATCCAATGGTGCCAAATTTGCGACACAGTTGTTCTATCTTTTTGGGCCCCGACAGCAGAATCTCGTCAACAGTGGATATCCGCGACCTTTCGACTACAATAACATTGGCTTCTCGGTCGACGGCTTCGATTTGGACATTGAACACCTTTCCACTGACAATGCGGCCGGCTACAAGGCCCTGGTCACGCAGCTCAAGCGGCTGTTTGGCACGGTGAACCAGAGATTTTACCTCTCGGCCTCACCGGCGTGCTATGTCCCAGACCCCAACAACCAAGACATGCTCTCGACTGTCGCTTTCGATATACTCTTTATCCAGTTTTACGGCTCGTACGAATGCTCCGCTGCGCGCTGGGCCAAGGAGAACCCGGCGTACAAGGTCGGAGGTCCCGTCGCCTGGGCTGGCTTCACCTTTGACAAGTGGACAGACTGGCTGTCCAACACACCGAGCAAGAACGCCCGCCTCTTCCTCGGTCTGCCGGGCTCAAAGGCCGCGGCCGACCCAGGATACGCCATTTCCGTTGCGAGCGCCTCCAACCTTGCCAACGCGTACTACTGCCGGCCCAACTTTGGTGGCATTTCCATTTGGGAGGCAACGACGGCCGACACCTCGATCAGTAAAGGTAAAACTTATTATCAGAATTTGAAAGGCGCGCTCCAGACGGCTTCAAGCAACGCGGCCCGTTGTTCGGTAAGTTGTGTTTTTATCTCCAGAAACTCTGAATTGCCATGTGTGTTAACGTCCTCTTGTTCCTTTTACAGACGGACGGTATGGCCATGTTCCCAATTTCAATGGACAACCGCTGCGGTGTGTCTGGTAATACCAATTTTGGCACCGCTTGCCAAAACCAGTGCTGTAGTCAATATGGGTACTGCGGGCAGGGCGACGCGTACTGCGGATTGGGTTCATGCCAGCCTGGTTATGGTAGCTGCGACGAGGATGATGAGTAACGGAAGAATTGACCATTTGCAAAGACGAGATTCAATGGATCATCGAACACATGTTGACTGGGAATATACGCAAAGAAAGTTGTTGGATCTAGGTACGGAATACAATCAACCGCACTAGTAGCTTCAACCTTTTTTCTTTTCCTGTTTGAGCTGAATATACGCCGAGTTCTTTTGGTCAACGGTGCTCTGGCCAGTCTTGAGTGATTATATTGGCAGATTGAAGTTTCCTAGTTTATTATAGCCATGGAACTCGAAGTGCACAACGGCGAAAACTTATAAGGGTGATTCTGTTCAACCACTGTCCATTTTTCTTCACTGTTCGAAGCATGAAACGCCGTAGCACTCAATTGAATACAATGTCATTTCTATCAGGCGAATCTCGAGAATGGCTCATCATCTCAATAGGTAAGTGGCGTGCCATCAAAATTGTAAAAGTTTCCTGATGTTTCAGCTCGCGTGGCCGCATCGATCTTTGCCATCAGAGCTGGGATAATCAATTCCATGGAATGCGGTGCCTGTTCCATACCCCAAAGCTTGGCATTGGCGTTCCCGGATGCCGACTGCACAAAACCGGGGTTCATGACCCATGCAGTCAGCCACGGGTTCTCGAAATGCACTCGTCGGACGAGGTAGTTGAGAGCCGCCTTGCTGGCACCGTAGATGCCAACCTTGACGGGGATCGTGGGTTCCATTTCGGCTATCTGACCGCCGCTCGAGCTGAGAGCTAATAGTTTCGGGGAGTTGCTCGACGTCAGGAGAAGCGGCTGCACGGCCTTGAAGAGGCTCACAAAGGAGAATGTATTGACATTGAAGATTTCGTGCAAGGCCTCGATATTGATGTCATTGACGGAAGCAAAAGCACTGGCCGGGTTGATTCCGGTCACCGCTATAACGATATCCAGCGCAGTGATACCGGCTGCCCTGATGTGGTCAACCGCTTCAGCAGGGTCTGTCTCGGACGTGGCCTCGATCTTGACGACTAGCAGCTTGCTGCCCTCCCCTGGCTTGACATCCTTGAGCGTGGTGCTCTCTGGATTGCGGACAGCCCCAATGACAGTGTGGTTGGGGCGCGATAAATAAGCCTCAGTAAGTGCGCGGCCAATGCCTGCAGTCTATGAGTATTCGACACGAATGCTGGTATTGACTACGGGTATAGGTTCCCGACTACAAAAGCTTGAACTGACCTTGATTGGCACCGGTAATGAGAATAGTAGGCATGTCGATGACGGTCAGACTCAAGAGGAGATGGGGGAAAGAGAATGAATAGAGCATTCACAGAAGACTCGCTTGCTGTTCTCTCTTCACTTTCCGGGGTAATAGCAGATTTGTGAAAGAAGCTTTCTAACCTGAGCCGACTGGGGCTTGAGCTGACGGAGAAGGGCCAGCGATTTGTACGACCAACTCAACAAGAGGCCGACTCACCTCGTCCAGTTCGTTCTACTTTTTTCCAAGTCAGTCCAATACAACCCCACGCCAAGGTCGTAAGTTGCTGATCTGACAATATTTCTTTGCTTACATCCGCCGGCGAGGGGTATACCAAAACAGGGGTCCAAGCATCGCAGTGTGCATACAGGCCTGTTTGTGACAATTATTATTTCTAATGTTTTGCAATGATATCTCGCATGTGATTCTTTGCAAATAGGGCATTACTATGGCAAGCAGGCCTATCTGGGGTGGGCTGGCCCTTTCCCCCTTGAATGCCGCCTCAGCTGGCATTGATGCCGTGACCAACTTCACGTTCAACAATTCATCCAATCCATATGTCAACGTACAGTTCGTAATAGGCACCAGCCAAGATTTGGGGGCGGTTTGGGCATGACCATTGCGAATAACATGGCAGCCGTCGAGAAACCTCCTTTGATGCAAAGTTCCTATCATTTTCGGAAGTTACGAATAACTACAAGACAGTCACACTCCAGGAATGCTTGGGTATACTCCTCACTGCCTCTGGACTACTTGTGATGATGTGCAATGTAGTGCCAAAAATATATGTTCAGGTTACCTGACTTTCTTCAAGTACTATATGGTTCACTCTGACAGTCGAGAACGATGCTTCCATCCGCCGAAAAGCAGTTGAAATATATAATCAGATGGTGAAAGAGCTTCAGGCAGGTATCCCCGACCAGTATTTAGCCTCGCATGTCTGTGTCCAGCCGGTCCCACGTCTATACTTCCAGCAATCACATGCGGCCAACGGCATTGGCAACGTGCTTGGCCTTGAGCAAAACAGCCATGACGCCATCCTGATTCAAGCCTCGGCCAGTATCCACACTACTGAATTAGAGTCATGGGCTTGTTCCAATGTTTGCGCTTTGGTTGATGAGGTGCGCTCGTCTGCGCACGCCATCAAGGATGGTGTCCTACCGTGGGAGCATCTCATTTACGCTCTTTCAAACCAAGACGTTTTCAATGGTTACGGCCCAGATAATGTGAGCAGGATGCAGGAGGCCTCATCAAAGTATGACCCCAAAGGTGTTTTCCAGTACCTTTGTCCTGGTGGATTCAAAATATCGGCTTGGAAAAACTAGCCTACTCTTGCCGTCTTGTAATGTGGCCAGGCGAAAGGTCCAATAAAGGCGCACAATTTGACATCGGAAGCTGCTGCGTAAAGTTACCAGTTCATGACATTAAAGTCTCCGACTTGAACTGATCGCCTTGATAATCCAAGTGCTCAATTGAAGCCCTCTTTTATGCAGGGTTACACGGAAGCAGCTCACCCAGAGTTTTGATCCATCAATATACATGTTCACATGAGATGACTAGCCGCTGATATATCTCGGACAGGTTGGCATGTATATATACGATCACCACGTCTAATAGAATAGTGACGAGACTGGCTTGGTCCTGGTTCAAGTGGCTGTCCACTTTTTGGAAATTCCTTATACTGCATTACAGAAACAAGTAACAAGTCTCCCTGGCATGATATTGATTATATATCAACATGTTAGCTGCCATACTTTTATTACATAGGCGGTCATGTCCTGGACGGAAAATTAATGACCAAAGTGCGTCCGATACAAATCGCATGTTTGAGAGTGAGCCATCATTCATCTCGAGCTCAATTATTAGACGAGCTCAAGTGGCAATGGACTATAGTGTTGGCCTATACTATGTACACTTTGTGTTGAAATCGGAAATATTGCGTTAGATAGAGGCAGTATTCGCTTTATTCTGCACCCACTGCACTTGAGATCGTCAGTTAGTAAAGTGAACATCAACGTAAAAATATCACCTTGCGGATTTTGATAAATGTTGATAAACGTATATTTTATTGGTTTCTGGCTGAAAAATCGTTTCATTAGCAACAGAATATACAAAATTTCACTTCTATAGATTAGGAATCATCGCTTTTACTTCAAGTTCATGAAAATGCTAAACTTCTATAATTGTGATGAACAAACTGGTTTTGGCAATGCGTCACGTTACAGGTGGTACGTTATAATAAAGTTGCGCAACTTGAATATGACATATCGCGGTGTTATCATGATTTTGACCGCAACTTCAATAAGCTTATATCAAATCACCAGAGGCATCTCACAGTATGTGGCACACTCAGGGGTTACGTATATCCGAGGTCAGCCCGCCCTGAGATATCGAGGATGGGTCACGTCAAGCAACTCACTTATTTATTGGACCACCAAACAATCCCTACTCACTCCCGGATATCGCTCATGGGTTCGGTTTCCGACATTTGGCTTGGGAAAACTCGGATGGCGCCGAGTAAATCTCCTTCTGGAATTGGAGCCATCTTTGAAGATCATACATGGTACGCCTGGGGGAGGATGGCAGATGGATAGGGTGCAAGAGAAGAGGAGACAACACACGTCACCGTTCAGGGCCTTGATATTTTAGCTGGACCGGGCCCCCCGTTGGTAGTACTCTTCGTCCTGTCGATCCATCACCACGGCCCGACCGCAGCCTCTGTCCTGCTTTGCTTTGCCTTGCGGCACTTTTCCCAGGTGGGCACATATGGCCCCGGGTTGTGGGAGCAGTAGTACGTGTACCATTATGTTGTATTGTGGAGAGACAGGAAAGCATGAGCCAAGAACCGTTTACGCGTGGAGATGTATGGGGAGGGTCCTTTTCGACCTTGTCCACCTGCTGACATGTTCATAGGGCGGATATGGAGCGGATGTTGAGTTGACTGTGGTTTTACGGAAGCAAGAGGAATTCTTCGGAAAGACTGTTCCCATACCGACCAAGAGCGCAAGAGCGCATCGTGAAGAAGTCTCTTTCGGTTTGTTCCCGGCAGTATTTCAGAACACGGTCGAGTCCAAGCCATTCACGGTGGCAGCAACTGTGTCTCGCCCTAAGGTTTTGGGATTCCGTATATACAAGCCTACAAGGCTGTGAAGCACACCGCACGTCCGTGTACCCGCAAATCTAGAGAGAAATCCTGGTTCTTGGAGCCACTTGACGTTCGACTACTTGTACTACTTGTGACCCCATCTTCTGTGGAGGTTTCAGCTTATAGAGAGGGAAAGGACAGAGACAAAGACTAGATTAGACTCGCTCTGCTCCGTGTCTAGTCCATGCAGAATTCCAAGCTAATCGAGTTGAAGAGAATACATGGTTTATATGAACTCAAAGCCACGACTAAGCCACGCCACGGTACTGATATATAGAATGTTGCCTAAATCTACCGACCAGGCCAGGAGGGAAAACCTTTAGGTACTTTGTCAAGAATCCTCACGCAACATCACTGTTGGAGCAGACCCAGACAAGGGTCTATGAGTTGGCACAAACAACAACTTTTCCTGTCTCTTTCCCTGTCTCGTGGGTCTAGATGTATCGTACTTGTGCTTATTTCTCGAGCACGTGAGTAGGTTTGAGCCGTGATGCCCATGGTCAGCTAGTTGTACTTCGTAAACCGGGTCCATCTAGTAACTACAAATGGGACGTGGCTTACATACAAGGGAGAATTTGACATGCCATGTATGGAACCGCCTACGAATATATCCTTATTTTATGGGGGTTTTGGTAGAATTCACGGCCATCCATGAGTCAGCCATATGAGACTGTGGCTGCTTGACAGAGTCCCATTTTGCAATACTATCGTAGCATTGGCTGCTTCGTACAGTTTATGGCACTATGAAGGAGGACGACTTGGGACAGCCCAGTGGTTCATTCTCCCCAGGGACGCGTATACACACGACGGAAGAGGTGGAGAAACCACGTAGGGACTACTCGAGAGGCTCCGATGGGGTCACCGCTCGGTCTTGAAGTGTGTCTCGCAGTGCAGAAAAGCTTGGCTGGCTACTAAGCAGGCCAGGCTGCCAATTAATTTGCTTCATGCCGAGATATATGCCTCTTCCCTTGCCATGAGCCATGGAAAGCGCAGCCAAACAATAGTCCAGGCACCCCACGGGTAGTCAACTTCACTACTATATTGCGGACAGGTGGCTATGCTCGGTTGAGACAAACCGGATGTGACCCTGGGATTGTGTACACAGTAGGGTAGTAGAGGGAGCAAGATCCAAGCGCAAACGAAACCGTACTTTGGGGAGCCTATTGGAAGGAGAGAGGAGGAGACAGCTTCAGGTGCCCAGATTACGACTTTATGCAGAGTGCGCATGACAAAGCAGAACCTTTCTATCATACTACAAGCTTTTGAGCAAATGAGCAGACGGATGCATGTCTTATCAGGCGCACTATGACCAGTTCATCTGATGCTGCAATGTACTACAAGCAGCAAGGAGCGCCGGGCAGTCGCCGAGAATTAAGGTGTGGTCATCGTCGACAGTACCATGGCCGTAGGCAACCCATGACTATATTGGTCTGTTTTTATTATAGTAGATGGTAAATATGTCGCGACTCAGACAATAATAAGAGGGCCCGACCGCTGACACAAGTGACAAGTCTCTTTATTGACCCACGTAACGAATCACGAAAGCCAGGGCCAACAAGTCCCTCCTACTCGCGTCAAGGACAACGAAAAGAAGAGCGAATATGTCTTTAGTTTTAGTCTCCCCTCTTTCCCCTTCTCCCGGTAGCCGCCAAGCCGGTCGGTAATGAAGCACGACGACGACAGTGGAACCGTCTAACGTATGTATAGCCCGCCAGGCCACATGCCGTCATGAAGATCATCGCCGAGCAAAAAAAGCAGGGGACAGAAAGGGGTCTTTTTGTTCTTCCTCTTCTCTCTGTTTGCTCTTTTTTTGGTCATTGCCAAGCCCGCCTTGCCCAGCGCCCCAGATTCTAGGTGAAGCTACGGCGCG